GGACTGTGTTCAGTTGATAAATCAATTTATGCACTTTTGATTTACTAAAGAAGTCCCCAGTTAATCAGGCAGCAGGTTTTTTTTAATTTTTAAAAATGTAATTATCTTAACACTCCAAAATTGTGGGTAGATACTTCAGAAAGTTCTTTAATTTCTGAATCTTATTTTTCTATCTTTTTCTTTTAACCTCTTTTCTTTCTTTCTTTCTTTCTTTCTTTCTTTCTTTCTTTCTTTCTCTTTTTCTCTCTTTCTCTTTCTCTTTCTCTTTTTTATTGTACAGTGGAACCTCGGTTTTCGAGTGTCTCGGAAGCTGAACATTTCGGTTTTCGAACACCGAAAACCCAGAAGTAATTGCTTCCGTTTTCGAACGCGCCTCAGAAGTCAAACGGCTTCCGCTGAGGTTTTTTCAATTTTCTCCATTGAAATGGCATGTTTTCTCGCACAGATTTATATTATTTCATATTATTTTTATATAGTCCAATAAGATATCTAAAAAATGTCTAAAACATAGGCAATATAAGCAGTATAATGAGAAGGATTGGAAGTTTTACATTTTAACTTGTCATCTAATTATAATATATTGTATTTTCCTTTCCTTTTTCTCTTTACTTTTACTGCTTTTGCTTTGTATGACTTGTTATCTATGTATATATGTTTGTGTGGGAAACTAATAAAGATTAATAAAAGAAAGAAAGAAAGAAAGAAAGAAAGAAAGAAAGAAAGAAAGAAATCGCAGACCGCCCTTTGCACCTCGGTTTTTGAACATTTCGGAAGTCGAACAGTCTTCCGGAATGAATTACATTCAAAAACCAAGGTTCCACTGTATCTAGATAACTGTTCTGGTTTGGTAAAAGGGGGGAGAGGGGAGGGAAGTATACCTGAAGGAGCGTCTCCACCCCCATCCTTCTGCCCGGACACTGAGGTCCAGTGCCGAGGGCCTTCTGGCGGTTCCCTCCCTGCGAGAAGCCAAGTTATAGGGAACCTGGCAGAGGGCCTTCTCGGTAGTGGCACCCGTCCTGTGGAGCGCCCTCCCACCAGATGTCAAAGGGAAGAACTACTACCAGACTTTTAGAAGACATCTGAAGGCAGCCCTGTTTAGGGAAGCTTTTAATGTCTAACAGACTACTGTATTTTAATACTTTGTTGGAAGCCGCCCAGAGTGGCTGGGGAAACGCAGCCAGATGGGTGGGGTATAAATAATAAATTCTATTCTAATCTATTCTATTCTATTCTATTCTATTCTATTATCAAGGTTTGTATTTTTCTCTTCCAACCTGAATATTTTTTTTTTAAAAAAAACAACAACTGTGGGTAAATACCACTCTCTTAAAAGAAGCAACCCCCTTCTCTTGCACAATGCTTCCGAAAAGGAAACACACACACATTTTTAGATAATAAGCAGCTTTAGCAACTGCTGTTTACATTTGCCTCATAGGAAGGGTGGGGGAAGGTAAATGCCTTCTCTCCCCAGGGCTGCTTCTCTGATCAATATCAACAGCCCCACTGCACACACACACACACACACACACACACACACACACAAACGGGGAGATCTTCTGCCATCAATCTTCTCCCAGCCCATCAGCGGCACATACAGTGAGGAGCCTTGGACTGTGCTGTGCATTTGCCAATAGGTGGCGCCATACTACTTCCCATTCTGAAGAATCCTGTGGTTACCTAAAAGGAAACAGGACCAATAGCCCTTATGGGTGGGATGGGAGGGAATGTCCTTAAAACGTTTCAGATCCCTAGGCATTATCCCAACTACTCCCTAAAGGTAAAGGGACCCCTGACCATTAGGTCCAGCCGTGGCCGACTCTGGGGTTGCGGCGCTCATCTCGCTTTATTGGCCGAGGGAGCCGGCATACAGTCAGCATGACTTTTCCAGGGAGTCTTCTCTTCTCATGAGGTGGCGAAAATTCTGGAGCCTCAGCTTCATGATCTGTCCTTCCAGTAAGCACTCAGGGCTGATTTCCTTCAGAATGGATGAGGCAAACACATACATAAACATATAAACTATGTGTCTGATATAGTATGGAAGAGCAATCCTGTAGCCATTTTAACTCTTCCCAATGACCTCAAATAATCCTCTGCAGTAAGGGAGGCAAATGGGAAAAGCCTTCGCATTGTATTTTCACTTACAAATCCTGTCTTAAGGGTGTATTTGTGTATGAATAGGGTGAGCCTGTGACCTGGATTCAGGAACTAAAGTATTAACCATCACAAAAGAATGGCCAGACTGCAATCCACGACCATTGTCAGGTATTCTGGCAGACAGGATTTCTACTGTAGATCGCCTCCTTCTGTGATGTATGTACAGTGGTAACTCTAGTTACAAAGAGAAGACTCCCTGGAAAAGACCCTAATGTTGGGAAAGATGGAGGGCACAAGGAGAAGGAGACGACAGAGGACGAGATGGTGGGACAGTGTTCTCGAAGCTACCAACATGAGTTTGACCAAACTGCGGGAGGCAGTGGAAGACAGGAGTGCCTGGCGTGCTCTGGTCCAGGGGGTCACAAAGAGTCGGACACGACTGAACGACTAAACAACAACCTCTAGTTATGAACTTAATTCGTTCCGGAGGTCTGTTCTTAACCCGAAACTGTTCTAAACCTGAAACTGGAGACGTGCTTTCACTAATGGGGCCCCTTGCTGCCGCTGTGCCACCATCACACGATTTCTGTTCTCATCCTGGAGCAAACTTCTCAACCCGAGGTAACTCTTCCAGGTTAGCGGAGTTTGTAACCTGAGGCATTTGTAACTCAAGGTACCACTGTATGATGTTTTGGGGGGTGGTCGTGGACTACAGAGTGGGCAATTTCAGAAAGTCTATATAAGGCAGGGGTCAGCAACCTAAGGCCCATGGGCCACAAGTGGCCTGTGGGGGTCGTTTAACTGGCCCATGGATACCACACCTGCTCGGGGACCCCTGCCGCCTGGTCAGTCGGCTCCCATGCGCCATGCTAAACCGGCGCGGAGCAGAGCAGGGACCGCCTTCCATGACGCTGGCTGGCTTCCCATTGGCTACAGGAAGCTCCTGCAGCCAATGGGAAGTTGCGCACGCCTCCTCCACACCAGAAAGAGCACCAGAAAGAGTGTTTGCGCATGCGCATGCGCACACACACTGGCCCACCGCGGCGTCTGTGGGACCGTGAACCGGCCCAAGCCACAAACACTTTATTGACCCCTGATATAAGGGCTTGTGAGTGGCGCTGTGGGTTAAACCACAGAGCCTAGGACTTGCCGATCCAAATTTTGGTGGTTTGAATCCCTGCGACAGGGTGAGCTCCCGTTGCTTGGTCCCTGCTCCTGCCCACCTAGCAGTTCAAAAGCACCTCAAAGTGCAAGTAGACAAATAGCTACCGCTCCGGCGGGAAGGTAAACAGCGTTTCCCTGCGCTGCTCTGGTTCACCAGAAGCGCCTTAGTTATGCTGGCCACATGACCCGGAAGCTGTACGCCGGCTCCCTTGGCCAATAAAGCGGGATGAACGCCGCAACCCCAGAGTCGGCCACGACTGGACCTAATGGTCAGGGGTCCCTTTACCTTTACCTTTTTCACCATTGTTCAGGGTTCCCCTCCCTCCTGTGTGTGGGGAGTGGGGACCCTGTGGCAACAGTACTTTTCTATTGCAATAAAGATCAGGTTTACTAGTTGCTTTGCTTCTCAATATACTCTGGTTGGCCTCTGTTATTTTCTCCTACCGATAGGTAACCCACTTAAGGACTCTATATGGGCTCTTGGATACCCCATAAGGGAAAAGGAGCTGTTTTTTTCTGTATTACGTAAGTGAGCGCAGGATTTCTCAGCCCAGCCTACAGTGGTACCACGGCTTAAGTAGGTAATTCATTCCGGAGGTCTGTTCTTAACCTGAAACTGTTCTTAACCTGAAGCACCACTTTAGCTAATGGGGCCTCCTGCTGCCACTGCGCCACTGGAGCACAATTTCTGTTCTCATCCTGCAGGAAAGTTCTTTTTTTCCCCAAAAAATTTTTTTTATTGGTTTTCACAACATTATAAACAAACAAACAAACAAACACATAAGACAAACAAACATAAATCATAGCCTTATTGAAAATTACACTTATTAACATTGTTAAGTGACTTCCCCGCTTCCGCTTGGTTGAATTTCATTGGATAGCCTTTTAACGGTTTTCCAAATCACAGTTCTTATAAAATTTAACTTAAACATTAACAAGCTTAGATTTTCACATTATGAAATTAAACATATTAATTCATCACTTAACATAAATAAAATCCTAAGCCAATTAAGTATCTGCAAGCCGTTTTCAGTTCATTTAACTTAACATATTTAACTAAGTAATCATTAAATTTAATCCACTCTTCCTGATACACCTCCTTCTGGTCACGGACTCTTCCGGTTAGGTCGTCTAGCTCTGAAAAATCCATCATCTTCATCTGCCATTCTTCTATCATTGGTAATTCTTGGGTTTCATCCTGAAGCAAAGTTCTTAACATGAAGCACTATCTCTGGGTTAACCGAGTCTGTAACCTGAAGCGTATGTAACTTGAGGTACCACTGTATTTCACAAGGTTGTTGCGAAGGAGGGAAATGGGATAACTCCCTCTATAATGTTCTGGTTTCCTTAGAGGGCGGATGGGATATAATTGCATTAAAAAATGACAAATGGGACTCGGGTGTGGCACAATTACTCCCTTCGGGTTTTGGATAGCAGCTTCCCTTGGCAGGGAACATCAGTTCAGAAGCTGACAGCCCGTGTTTTATAAAATGTGGATGGGAGAGTACATCACAGGTTCAGACAGGCCTCCGCCTGACTCATTCCCATGCGATGTGGTGTTTGGGGTGACGCTCCAAAAGTTTCCCACCTGAAGCTCTGGTTCTTACGAGGCTGGGCCAGGTTCTTTCCACCTGGGGCAAGGACACATATAAAGGCTTCCCGGGCTCCCTCTCCTGCCTGCGGGCTCAGAGCAGCCGCCGAGGCAAGCGTGGATCCCTGCGGCCTTCGGCGCACCTGCCACCATGAAGCGGGAACTGTGTTCGAGGGCCTTGACTCGCGCCTTCCTGGCCGAATTAATTGGCACGACGGTCTTTGTGTTCGTAGGCCTGGGCTCTGCCCTGCCCTGGCCCCTGGCCTCCCCTTCGGTCCTGCAAGTCGCTCTCGCCTTTGGCCTGGCTATCGGCACCTTGGCCCAATGCTTGGGCCACGTCAGCGGCGCCCATCTCAACCCTGCAGTGACCGCCGCGTTCCTGCTGGGCTCTCGCATCTCCCTTTGCAAAGCTGCTTCCTACGTGCTCGCTCAGCTCCTCGGAGCAGTGTTGGGAGCTGCTCTTCTGTATGAACTGACCCCCAGTCAGGTCCACGGAAGCCTGGGGGTCAATGGGGTGAGTCTGAGAATGATCACTGATGGGGAGGTCAGACCTTCCAAGTGCCCCTGTTTTCCAGGGACAGTCCCGGATTTACAGACACCGTCCCGGTTTTTGATCTGATCCCGGAATGTCCCGCTTTTCCTTAGGATGTCCCTATTTTCATCGGAGAAATGTTGGAGGGTACGGAGTTATGGGACCTCCGAGCCAAGGTGATGAGTAACTCTGCAACTTTTAGAAGACATCTGAAGGCAGCTCTGTATAGGAAAGTTTTTTTAAAAGAAAAGTTTAATGTTTTATTATGTTTTTATACATGTTGGAAGCTGCCCAGAGTGGCTGGGGCAACCCCGTCAGATGGGTGGGGTATAAATAGTATAATAATAATAGTTGATGATGATGATGATGAATAGGCCGCAAAAAGAGATTGCCAGACAGTGCGCAAAGGAAATGTGCTTTGTAGGATGAATGACAACATACAGTACCTCGGTTCTTGAACGTAATCCGTTCCAGAAGAACGTTTGAGTTTCGCAACATTCAAAAACCGAGGCACAAAGGGCTGGTTTAAAGTTCAATGGAGAAAATTGAAAAACACAGAGTGGAAGCCGTTTGACTTCCAAGGTGCATTCGAAAACGGAAGCATTTACTTCCGGGTTTTCAGCGTCTGGGTTCCGAAACGTTTGGCTTCGGAGACGCTCAAAAACTGAGGTACCACTATATAACCCTGGAGTCCAAAGCACCTCTGGATTTATTTGGCTGCCCCAAATTTTCCATCTTACTTGAAAACCAAACCTTACCTTCTCCGGTCTTTTCTGAGATGTTGCCACAGCAACATCTTTAAGTTTTGCAGTTATTCATATGGGCTTGAATTTGAATTTCGTCCATCTAATGGAAAACTTCACCGAATTCTGGCATTCCTACGCAAGCCCATGCCCTTTCAACCCTGCTGTGAATTTAAAATAAAAGAAGTGCGCGTTTTCTTTTGCAGATTTTGGAGACGCTTGATGGGTCACTGTATGGATGTGCACATCCAAGCAGGGCTTTGGGTGCCTTGGAGCAGCCATATCCATGGAGAAAGGAGCTGTGTTTCTTCTTTGCTATTATTGCTTTGCCAGAATCCTTTCCCCTTGGTAGCAACAGAAGCAGCTGCCTTCATTGACTGTCTCTCATTCCCTGCACAGTAGTTTGAGACTCTGTTGGTCTGTTTCAGTAATCTAGAGTGATGAAGAGCTCGTGCATGTGCATTTATTAAGATGCTTACGACGGGAGATTTTTGGACATCTGATTCTCCTACGATTGGGGTTGATGGTGATGTGTGTGTACCAGGTATATGGTTAGTGTCACATTCCCTCCAAGATTTCTCTGATGAAAATAAGGACCGTGCTATTCAATAATAATAATAATAATAATAATTGTTATTGTTTTATTATTTATACACCACTCAACTATTATTATTATTATTATTATTATTATTACTATTATTATACTATTTATACCCCACCCATCTGACTGTTGCCCCAGCCACTCAGGGTTGTTTCCAACATACAGTGGTACCTCGGGTTACATACGCTTCAGGTTACAGACTCTGCTAACCCAGAAATACTGCTTCAGGTTAAGAACTTTGCTTCAGGGTGAGAACAGAAATTGTGCTCCGGCGGCGCGGCAGCAGCAGGAGGCCCCATTAGCTAAAGTGGTGCTTCAGGTTAAGAACAGTTTCAGGTTAAGAACGAACCTCCGGAACGAATTAAGTACTTAACCTGAGGTACCACTGTATATAAAAACATAATAAAACATTAAACATTTCTTTAAAAACATCCCTATATAGGGCTGCCTTCAGGTGTCTTCTAAAGGTTGTATAGTTACTTATCTCCTTGGCTTGAGGGTCACATAACTTCATACCCTCCAACATTTCTCCAACGAAAATAGGGACGTCCTAAGGAAAAGCAGGACATTCCAAATTCAGGACTGTCCCTACAAAGCAGGGGCACCTGAAAGGTCTGGCGTCAAAATCTGGAAGTTAAAAGATCTACTAAAAGACAGCCTCTCCTGCAACCTGCTGTCTCTGCCCCTGTGAAATGTGCAGTGTAGTGGGGGTGACATTGCTGAATGGCAAGAGAAATGTGCTTTGCACATGTTCAGAGACACTCCTTTTACCATTGCTTTGTGTGTTCTGGGACTGCATCCTTGCATTAAACGCAGGTTTGGGGGGGCGGGCAGAGAGCCCTGGTAAAATCTGATAGACGACATTCCCTCATCCGAAGCTGCCCTGGTTGTGAGATCTTCGGGGCAGGCCCTTCTCTCGGTCCCACCACTCTCACAGGCACGATTGGTAGAGAAGCAGGACAGGGCCTTCTCGGTGGCAGCTCCCAGACTCTGGAACACCCTAGAGAAGTTAGACTAGCTCCCTCCTTGTTGTCCTTCCACTGGCAGCTGAAGACTTTCTTATTCCAGCCAGCTTTTGGGAACTGACAACTTTTAACAAAAGGGCTGGTTCTTTACAGTTTTTATTGTAATTATCTTTATGTTCTTAATGGATCATAGATCGATAGTTTTAATTCTAGTAAATTTTTTAAATGGTTTCCCTATGTTTTTAGCTGTTCTTATTTTACCTGTAAGCCACCTTGAGTCCCTGTCAAGGAAAAAGGCCAGATATAAATAATAATAATACTTTATTATTTATCCCCAGCCACTCTGGGCGGCTTCCAACAGAATATTAAAATACGATATTAAAATACTATGCCATGTCCAGTTTTCCCAGTTTCTCGTTTTCCTGTTTTAAGTTCAGCTTTCTACATTTTTTGTTGTTATTTGAGATCATGTTGTCACACTATATTGTGATTTTATGTCGTGAATTGCCCTGACATAGGGCTGTATACAAATTTATTTAATTGATCATAGTAATAAACTGTGCCTCAGACTTAAGCCTTTGCAACCGATCTGATCAAACAGCGGAACTTTTAAACATTTCAAATTATGGCCTTCTCTCTCTCTCTCTCTCTCTCTCTCTCTCTCTCTCTCAAGTCCCTTCGGTTAACCTCAGCCACCGGCTCGTTTTTTCTGGAAGTGTTTTTATGAGACTGAATTATCAGTCGGTCGGCAGAATCTGCCTGGAGTAGGCAATTCTAAATGCTGGATGAAGTTAAAATGAAACAGAGCTCTCTTGCCTCGGCTTTGTTCTTTTGCAGAGAAGTCACAGAGGGCCCAGTCCGAAGGATGCTTCTCTGTGTTCTTCACCGCCAGTGATCTCCGACCCCGAAATCTTTGGTATATTTTTGTCTCGGCTCTCGCTAATACCAGCTTTTGCAGAGCAGACGTCGCCTCTTGTCCTTTTGCCCAGTTATGCAAGGCAAGCCGGGCCCCTCCCATGCCCTGAACTGGATCCTTGATTTTTCCTCTCCTGTTCAATTTCCATTCACTTCAACTCAAGATTCACTTTGCTGAGAACTACCCTGTGACCATGGGTGTAGCCAGGATTGGGGGGGGGGGCAGGACAGGACACCCACCTGCCACCATAATCTCTGTCTGGCTCTGTCTAGCAGATTCGGAATGAAACATCTCGACAACAGTGGTTTTAAATTGCTTTCTTTTGACCCCAAGTGCTCAGAAAAATTCATCAAAATCTCCACTCATTTGAAAACTAGGACGTTAAATAAAAAACACCAGGGAGTACTTTTCGTGCGGTTAACGAGTATATTTTGCAAAATTACAAAGAACACACCTTTTTTCATTTTGATTACAGTGGTACCTCGGGTTACATACGCTTCAGGTTACAGACTCCACTAACCCAGAAATAGTACCTCGGGTTAAGAACTTTGCTTCAGGATGAAAACAGAAATTGTGCTCTGGCGGCGCAGTGGCAGCAGAAGGTCCCATTAGGAGTGGACCTCCGGAACGAATTAAGTACTTAACCCGAGATACCACTGTATTATTATTTAAACTAAAACTAGTTTTTTTGGGTTTGCTGAAAATCTTTTCTAAATCTTTCCCTAAAAAAACTTTGGTCACCCTCCCCCCCAAAGCTCAACAACTTTAGTCAATCCTTTTTTAAAAATATATATATATATATTTGTTATTAGGAATTTGAACAAAGCATATTATCTTACAACATACCATCCTTAATTTTTTTTCCTCATTTCCCCCCTCCCCCAGTTTATTCAAAACCTGCCAAGGAGTCCAGTTCACTTTGTTGCTTCTTTAAGTACTTTGTAAAAGGTTCCCATTCATCTTTAAAGTCACATTTATCCTTGTCCCGTAGTTTATGTGTCAGTTTTGCCAATTCTGCATAGTCCATCTGTTTCTCTTGCCATAATTCTTTGGTCAATCCAATGGGTAGGTAACTGCCAGTTTATTTATAGTGGGAGTAGATCGCAGTCTGTTGGAAGTTGGACACCTCTGCCGTACCCCATGTCCTCACTGCAGCCGATGGTGCTATGTTGTGGAAGCGGTTCACTGTGTCAGCCCCTCGCAACCCATGCAGCTGGTTGGACCCACTCAAAAGTCCACCCGGACAGTCGAGTAGACCTTCAGCCTCCAAAAGTGCAGTTAGGGACATTTCTCACCAACGTGCACTTCTTTTCCAGCCCCAGAACACCACGTCGGCAGGACAGGCTGTGACCATTGAGATGTTCCTCACGCTTCAGCTGGTCCTCTGCGTCTTTGCGTCCACCGACAGCCGCAGGACGGATGTTGGCTTCCCAGCATTGTCCATTGGATTGTCAGTCACTGCAGGACACCTGATAGGGGTGGGTATCGGGGAGAGAGACGCATGGGTCCCTCTTGTGAAAATCAACCGCTTATATCAAAACGCTTAGCTCTTCCCTCAAAGATCCTCAGTTGTAAACTTGCAATTGGATCTCACATTTTAGGCTGTGTTTTGTGGCAACTCCAGTCCAGGGTCTTATCAACGCTGACCTTGGCGTGGAACAGGGTCATTCATATATGTGTGGTGTGTGTGTGTGTGTGTGTGTGTGTGTGTGTGTGTGTGTGTGAATGGTGCCACAGACACCCTCCCCCAGGTGGGTTATGAGGGGGTCTGCAGATCACCAGATGGGAATCATCATGCTTATCAGGGAAACTGAGTGAACAGGAAAGCCTTAGCTATGGCAGGCGCCAGAGAAACCATATGACACAAATTATGTAATTTTACATGGATTTTTGAAATAAATAAATAAATAAATAATATATTTATACCCCGCCCATCTTGCTGGGTTTCCCCAGCCACTCTGGGCGGCTCCCAACAGAAGATTAAAAACATGATAAAACAAGCATTAGAAACTTCCTGATACAGGGCTGCCTTCAGATGTCTTCTAAAAGTCAGATAGTTGTTTATTTCCTTGACATCTGATGGGAGGGCGTTCCACAGGGCGGGCACCACTACTCAGAAGGCCCTCTGCCTGGTTCCCTGTAACCTCACTTCTCGCAGTGAGGGAACCGCCAGAAGGCCCTTGGAGCTGGACATCAGTGTCCGGGCTGAACGATGGAGGTGGAGACGCTCCTTCAGGTATACTGGACCGAGGCCGTTTAGGGCTTTAAAGGTCAGCACCAACACTTTGAATTGTGCTCAGAAACATACTGGGTTCCAATATAGTTCTTTCAGGACTGGTGTTATATGGTTTTGGCAGCCACTCCCAGTCACCAGTCTGGCTGCCACATTCTGGATTAGCTGTATTTTCTGGGCTACCTTCAAAGGTAGCCCCACCTAGAGCACATTGCAGTAGTCCATGCTTTAGTAGTTATGTTTTATTATGACTGTTTGTATTGGATCAGATTATAAGGTGTGCGTTCTTTGTTGTGTATTTTGTTGCCGTATACCGCGTTGTGTATAGCAATATAGAAAGGCGGTGTACAAATTAAAAGTGAAATGAAATCAAATGAGAATATTACAGTTGGGAGGATGTTCTGGCAAGCTCCAAGCCTGCTTTGGGGGGGGCGGTGTTAGGCTGCAATGGGTATTGGATGCTGGAGGATATTTCATGAGGTCATAAACAATAGGAAACTGAGTTGTGCCCGGTTCTCTGCACAGCTGGGGCAGAAAATCACAAATGCAAAATCCTCACATGCAGTGAAAACTGCTTGCAGACTCTCCAAATGTCCCTATTTTCCAGAATCAGTCCCAGATTTACAGAAGCTGTCCTGGTTTATGATTTAATCCCAGAATGTCCTGCCTTCCCTTAGGACATCACCCCATTTTTCATCCAAAAAATGCTGGAGGGTGTGGAGTTATGCAATACCCAAGGAGATAATTAACTATACAGTCATACCTTGGATCTCAAACGCCTTGGCTCCCGAACAAATCGGCTCCAGATCGAAACCCGGAAGGGAGTTTCCGGTTTGTGAACGTTCTTTTGGAACCCAAACGTCTGATGCGGGTTCCGTGGGTTCCAATTGGCTGCAGGTGCTTCCTGCAGCCAATCAGAAGCCGTGCTTTGGTTTCCAAACGTATTGGAAGTCAAACGGACTTCCGGAACAGATTCCGTTCAGCTTCCAAGGTGCGACTGCACAACCTTTAGAAGACAACCTTGAGAGCCAATGTGGTGTAGTGGTTAAGAGCGGTAGTCTCGTAATCTGGGGAACCGGGTTCGCGTCTCCGCTCCTCCACATGCAGCTGCTGGGTGACCTTGGGCTAGTCACACTTCTTTGAAGTCTCTCAGCCCCAGTCACCTCACAGAGTGTTTGTTGTGGGGGAGGAAGGGAAAGGAGAATGTTAGCCGCTTTGAGACTCCTTAAAGGGAGTGAGAGGCGGGATATCAAATCCAAATCCAAAACATCTGAAGGCAGCCATGTATAGTGACTTTTTTTAATGTTTTATGTTTTTGTACATGTTGGAAGCCACCCAGAGCGGCTGGGGCAGCCCAGAGAGGTGGGGTATAAATAATAAAATTGCCATTATTATTATTATTATTATTATTATGGAAGAGGACGTCCCTATTTTCATTGGAGAAATTTTTGAGGGCATGTATTTGGTTTCCTTCCCTCCTCTCAACCACCTCTTTGTGTTTCTCTAGATCTACTACACTGGCTGCTCTATGAACCCGGCTAGATCCTTTGGCCCAGCTCTGGTCATGGGGAACTTTGCTAACCACTGGGTAAGAGAAGACTCTGCCTCTGTTCTGAAAGAGATGGGATGAGGAGCATATCTCAAAGCGAGGCCCTTGCAGCTAGACCCACACAGCAGCTGCTGGCAAAGTCCTAGCCCTAGCTTTGACCAAAGCATCCTTTTCTTCTCTCTGCACAGATTTTCTGGATTGGACCGCTAGCTGGTGCCATCGTAGCCATGATGCTGTATGACTATCTTTTGTGCCCGCATCCCAGGAGCACGGCAGACCGAATTGCCATCCTCAGAGGAGACCGTGATCCTGAGAAAGAAGCAGAGCATGGACGTCAGAAGAAGCAGTCCTTGAAGACCTACTCTGTCCACACCCTTCCCAAGCTCATCGACACTGATGATAAGGCTTGTGGGTTGGTCTCTTAAAGGGGACAGGCTCAGCCTTCTTGTTTACGCAGTGGGATGGACGCTGCAGCTAACCTTACGCTCAGGATCCAGCTCTGTGGACTAGGAATGCCTCGCCTTTGTCTCACCTCCAAACAGAGGATTGGGTGGGAGAAGGCACCTTCCTTGCCCATGTGACTTTTCAAAATGCTGCTTGCTGACAGGCTCTAGCTGTCAGGCTTCAGGGAATCCCTCCCCGCACCCCCCACCCCTTGGCAGTACATAAGCAGAACAAAGGAAAAGGAGTCTTCTTACCAGTTAGAACTTTAATGATCACTGCAAGAGAACAAAGAATTCCCAGGAATGGCGGTGCTCCCAATTAAGGGTTCCACCCACTTCCTCCCTACTCACCCATGTCACTACCGCGTCTTGTAACCTGAGCTCCTAACCACTGTGCTTTCTGTGCTGCCATCTTATCTGCTCTTCTTGACCTTGGGCTGAGCGGATGGATGCTTACCAGAGACAGCAAATCTGTTCACTTTCTCTCTCTCTCCCGGTGCATCTTCTCTTAGCTGTTCCCCTTCCAGGATTTCCCAGCTTCTGCCTTTGGAACTATGCCCCTCTGCAAACCACTGTTCCAAATCTATACTGTCCTTCTGCTCCTGGGAAGATTCAGGATGGGGGGAGGGGGAGCTCCGAACTATCCTCCTCAGTGCAGCCCTCCTCAGCACGGTCCCCGACACTAGCATAGGAAAATCATGATCTCAGGAGGGCATACCCAGGGGGGTAGCTAGCTGCTCTGGTACCCGGAGCGGTGGGAGCGGGGCAATCCACCGGGGGGGGGGGCAGCACAGTGAGCTGCCCACGGAGTCCACCTGGTGGATGGAAGCCCCACACTGCCATTTTGGGCAGCGCAGGGCCCCAAGCCACCGCGTCACTCCCAGGAGAGATGCATGGCTCGGGCACACTGCAGGCCAGGCCCCCCCAGTAAGTGCTGCCCCCAACGGTGTGCCATATTCCCCCCCCCCCCAGGGATGACACCCGGGGTGAGCCGCACTCCCCGCACCCCGCTTTCTATGCCCCTGGGCATACTCACACTAAAAACCTTATTGTGGTTTTGTTTTCATTTTTTTAATTGTCATGGTTTTCATCAGCAAATTCTGGGAATGATCATCTTGGCAGCCCTCCTCTGCCCACGTTCCAGCTTGTCAAAATCCTTCTTAAATTGTGGCACCCAGAACTGGACACAGTATTCCAGTTGTGCTCTTCTTTTTTTTTTAAAATAATATTTATTACTTTTCCAAAAAATTTAAACACTGAAAAAACACACACAATACAATACAATACATTAAACTAGCAAAACAAAACAAAAACAATAAAATAAATCAAACAATTTCATTATCCCATCTTTCATTCACTTATTTCCACGATCTCCTCACACCTCCCTTTTTGTATTCCACTTCTGTTAATTATTTCAGCAATTCCTTTCCATCTTCCTCTGTTTTCTATCCTATAATTATATTAACTCATTCTAACCTTATTTTTCCCTTTGATACTCTATTAATCTATTTATATTTAATTCCTTGTAACATTTCTACTAAAGCCATGTAGCTTCATTCCAACATTTTTCTAACATTCATTGATTTTACAGTATTTCTGTAAATAATATTTAAATTTTTTCCAATCTTCTTCCACCGACTCTTCTCCCTGGTCTCGGATTCTGCCAGTCATTTCCGCCAATTCCATATAGTCCATCAACTTCATCTGCCATTCTTCCCGGATGGGTAAATCTTGTGTCTTCCAATATTTTGCGATGAGTATCCTTGCTGCTGTTGTTGCATACATAAAGAAAGTTCTATCCTTCTTTAACACCAATTGGCCGACCATGCCCAGGAGAAAGGCCTCTGGTTTCTTCAGGAAGGTATATTTGAATACCTTTTTCATTTCGTTATAAATCATCTCCCAGAATGTCTTAATCCTTGGGCATGTCCACCAAAGGTGAAAGAATGTGCCTTCAGTCTCGTTACATTTCCAACATTTATTATCGGGCAAATGGTGGATTTTTGCAAGCTTGACTGGTGTCATGTACCATCCAGTTGTGCTCTTCAGGCACCCAGTAATTTACTAATATCATTTGTATGAAATTAATATGCCGATCAGAAGGTCGGCAGTTCGAATCCCTGCGATGGGGTGAGCTCCCGTTGCTCGGTCCCTGCTCCTGCCAACCTAGCAGTTCGAAAGGACATCAAAGTGCAAGTAGATAAATAGGTACCACTCTGGCGGGAAGGTAAACGGCGTTTCTGTGCACTGCTCTGGTTCGCCAGGAGCAGCTTAGTCATGCTGGCCACATGACCCGGAAGCTGTACGCCGGCTCCCTCGGCCAATAAAGCGAGATGAGCGCCGCAACCCCAGAGTCGGTCACGACTGGACCTAATGGTCAGGGGTCCCTTTATCTTTAATATGTCTGATTAATTCTAATTACGGCATCCTCCGCATGCTTTTCGGCTCCCCCTTTCTCTGCATCCTGTAGGTAATTTCTCTTTGTCCCTTTGTTGATGCTTCTGTATCTCTTGATGGTGGACTTTTAAATAGCCCATAGCAGCTTCAATTGCTGGAATCTTATTGCCTTCTCTCTTTCTAAGCAGGAGAAATCTGTTCCCCTTTGTATCCTGAGGGCACTGGAGGTGCCGGGCTCTTAATAAACATCTCGCCCAAACAGTCTAGTCTCTCGCCTCTTCAACACAAGCTTCCATTGCCATAAATTCCTCTTTTCATCTCGCTTTCCACTCTTCCTGACCTTGCAATTTCTCATGATTGCCGCTGATTTGAGGCAAGCAGCATTAAATAAGATGTATTTCAGCAATAACAGACCCCTTGTATTTTTTTTCCCCCTCGGCTAGAAGATACAGAAAAGATAAAGGACAAAGAGCGAATATTTCTGTCTCAGCAATAATAACCTTGTCAATCTTGGTGTCTGCGGCTCAACAGATGGCAAAAATCCCTTCTGTTCAGAGCTAATGGGCAAGATTTTATTAAAAGCCTGATATTTGCGAGAAAGCCTGCATGCCTCTGTGTGTCTTTGTGGGCTTTTTAAAAACAACAACAACAACCACAAACCCAGAGATTTATGTACACCGGGCTGGAGTACAAGCAGAGGGTTTATTACAAATGGCTCGAATTTGGTGGTGCATATCCTTGCTTTATCCCCAGATCTCATTCCACTGATGGATGAGCTGCGGAGATTAAACAGAGATTGTTGAGGCAATTATAAAGAGAGGAGAAATTGCTGTACCACTGACAGCACAGCCCCTGGCACTGATGGATTCCACATCTCCATTTGAGTCAAGGCCTTTATCCCCAAACGTCTTTTCAACACCAGGACTCAGTCCTGGAAAAAGTGGTGCAATAATCAAGGAGGGAGCCTCTTGCCATGTACAGAGCGTATTGCAGTCATCACTGAATAACCACAGTTAACCACATCTGGACTACTACTACTACTACTACTACTAATAATAATAATTTATTATTTATACCCCGCCCATCTGGCTGGATCCCCCCAGCCACTCTGGGCGGCTTCCAACAAAACACTAAAATACAATAACCTATTAAACATTAAAAGCTTCCCTAAACAGGGCTGCCTTCAGATGTCTTCTAAAAGTTTGGTAGTTATTTTTCTCACTGACTTCTGGTGGCAGGGCGTTCCACAGGGCGGGCGCCACTACTGAGAAGGCCCTCTGCCTGGTTCCCTGTAACTTCTCGCAGCGAGGGAACCACCAGAAGGCCCTTGGCGCTGGACCTCAGTGTCCGGGTAGAACGATGGAGGTGGAGATGCTCCTTCAGGTATACTGGGCCGAGGCCGTTTAGGGCTTTAAAGGTCAGCACCAACACTTTGAATTGTGCTCAGAAACATACTGGGAGCCAATGTAGGTCTTTCAAGACCGGTGTTATGTGGTCTCGGCGGCCACTTCCAGTCACCAGTCTAGCTGCCGCATTCTGGATTAATTGTAGTTTCCGGGTCACCTTCAAAGGTAGCCCCACATAGAGCGCATTGCAGTAGTCCAAGCAAGAGATAACCAGAGCACGTACCACTCTGGCGAGACAGTCTGCGGGCAGGTAGGGTCTCGGCCTGCGTACCAGGTGGAGCTGATAGACAGCTGCCCTGGACACATTGACCTGTGCCTCCACGGTCAGCTGCGAGTCCAGAATGACTCCCAGGCTGCGCACCTGGTCCTTCAGGGGCACAGTTACCCCATTCAGGACCAGGAAGTCTTCCACACCTGCCCACCTCCCGTCCCCCCAAAACAGTACTTCTGTCTTGTCAGGATTCAACCTCAATCTGTTAGCCGCCATCCATCCTCCAACCGCCTCCAGGCACTCACACAGTGTCTAAAGTGCTGAGCTACGGGAAATGACTGGCAGAATCTGTGACCAGGGAGAAGAGTCGGTGGAGGAAGATTGGAAGAAATTCAAAGATTATCTACAGAAACACTGCAAAATTAAAGAATGTTAGAGTGATGTTGGATTGAAAATAAGTGGTTTCCAGCTGTATAGGATAAAGTTATAGATAGACTAAGATTAAAGATTAGGATTAAAGAAGTTTAAGGAAATGGAAATTGGGTACTTAAGAGGTAAAATTTGAATGTTACATTATATTAAGATTAAAGATTGGGACTAAAAAAGTGGAAAAGAAACTGCTGGACAAACAATTTGGACTGGAATACAAAAGAGGGAGGTATGAGGAAGTCCAGAAAATAAGTAAATTTAAAAACGGAAATGAAAAGGTGATATTGTTTTTAATTGTTCTGTTTCTTTTTTTGTTTTCTGTTCTCTGTGTTTTTCTTCTTTTTTTTATTATGTATTGTGTATTTGTGTATTTCTTTTTTATGTTTTTCTGTTTAACTTTTTACTGAAACCCTAATAAAAACCATTTAAAAAAAATAAAAAAAAATAAAGTGCTGAGCTACAAGTGGCTTGAATAGAGGCGTTGCTGCTCATATCGACAGACGGGTCTGATTTTTCCAAGGCTACCTTCCCAGCTGCTTCTCAGCCCCCCTCCCCAGCTGATCATTGCATCAGATGCAGGACTGTTGAACTTGCTCCAGTTTTAAAGGAGCTTTAAAAGGCCCAACCAAATTTGTCAGTGGGGTGACTGCTTCAGGTCACCAGATAATCAGCTCATCGTTCAGTTCACTTGTACTGCATCACACACAGAGAGAGCCATTTCTTCTACAGAACTGTAGAGTTGGGTCATCTAGTCCAAGCCCCTGCAATGCAGGAATCTCAGCTAAAGAATCAATGACAAATGGCCATCCAATATCTGCTTTAAAACTTCCAAGGAAGGAGAGTCCACAACCTCTTGTGGCAGCCTGTTCCACTGTCAAACAGCTCTTACCGTCAGAAAGTTCTTCCTGATGTTTAGTCGGAATCTGCTTTCTTGTAACTTGAAGCCATTGGTTCGAGTCTTAGCCGTGTGACAAACCTTAAGCTATTTGAAGATGGCCATCATCTCTCTTCAGTCTCCACGTTTCCAGGATAAACATACCCAGCTCTTTCAGCCGTTTCTCTTGAGGCTTGCTTTCTAGACCCTTGATCATCTTGGCCACCTTCCTCGGCACATATTCCAGCTTATCAATTTAATAATAATAATAATAATAATAATATGTATATGCCTCCCACTCTGGGCAGCTCCTCACAAAATATTAAAAACATAGCAAAACATCAACCATTAAAAACTTTTCTGATGTCTTCTAAAAGTCAGACAGTTGTTTATTTCCTTGGCATCTGGTGGCAGGGCATTCCACAGGGCGGGCGTCACTACCAACAAAACCCACTGCCTGATTCCCTGTAACTTCACTACTTGCAGTGATGGAACCACTAGAAGGCCCTCACAGCTAGACCTCAGTGTCCGGGCTGAACGATGGGGGTGGGGACCAAGTCCGTTTAGGGCTTTAAAAGTCAGCACCAACATTTTGTACTGTGCTCAGAAACGTACTTAATTCCTTCTTTAACTGTTGCACCCAGAACTGGACACAGTATTCCAGGTGTGATTTGACCAAGGTGTGATTTGACCAAGTGGTACAATTATCTGACTCTCACCCGCTTGTCACATACAGTATAAAAACAGCCTTATTTGCAAAAGCTGCTAAAAGTATTTTTGCTTGTCACATAAAAACTATGCAGGAGATTCATTAATTAGATTTATAGTAAATGGTTGCTTATTTCATAATAATAATAATAAATTTTATTTATATCCCGCCCTCCCCAGCCGAAGCCGGGCTCAGGGCGGCTAACAATAAAACAATACAAAAGTACAGTATAAACAACACTCTAAAATCATTCATTATAAAATTAATTAATTCAAGCCACTGGCAACCATTGGGCCAGAGCTCCGCGAAGATTGCCGAGGGAGGGAGTCAGGCTGTGCCATGGCCAAAGGCCTGGTGGAACAGCTCTGTCTTGCAGGCCCTGCGGAAAGATGTCAAGTCCCGCAGGGCCCTAGTCTCTTGTGACAGAGTGTTCCACCAGATCGGAGCCACAGCCGAAACAGCCCTGGCTCTAGTTGAAGCCAGCCTAACTTCTCTGTGGCCTGGGACCTTCAAGATGTTTTTATTTGAAGACCGTAAGTTTCTCTGTGGGGCATACCAGGAGAGGCGGTCCCATAGGGTCTTTCTTAGTTGGATTTGCAGATTTTTTGGGCTGGTTTTGTGGCAGCTTTTAGTCAAACACAAGAAATGATAAATTGATCAAGTGGTACTATTAATTCCCTTGATTGGGGACGATGGACTTCTGTTGTTGCAGCCTAGCAGTGCCAGATTTACGTATAAGCTAAACAAGCTATAGCTTAGGGTCCCACTCTCTTGCGGGGGGGGGGGGGTTTAAAAGAAAAACAACAACTGGATGTACATTTCCAAAATATAAGATAAAAAAGAAATAAAATAAAACCAACATACAGCAGCAGTGTTTTGTGTTGTGTAGACTCCTATAATGTAAGTCATGGGCCCTGCCGCCTGCTCCCTAAAATATCACTGGTTTGCTCATTTCTATATATAGGGTGCCTACATTCTGCAAGTGCAAATGGCTTAGATACCTCTTAGGTCCTTAAATTACCATATAGCTGATATTCAACACAAAAACCAGCGACAATTTGTTGCTGACAAAGGACAGCTGGACATAGAAAGGGCCCCATTCCCTTCAGTAGCTTAGGGCTTCATCAAACCTAAATCCGGCCCTGGTATCGACCCACTGCCTTGATCTCCTGCAAATACTAAAAGTTACCCTAGCCACAAATGCGTTTGCATTATAAGGAGGAAGAGAACGCTGCTGCTAATCTCATAAAACCCTCCGGTCAACAGCTAGAGTACAGCAATCTCAGTCGCCCACGTGCTCCTCCCCATGGGGCGGCGCTCGACTGCCGATTGGATACGACGCGGAGCCGCCCTCCGGCGATTGGCCGCGTCCAGTTAGGATACCTCGGAGGGTTCTATCCGCGCCGCGTTCCAGGACATCCGCTCGCCATGGCGCTGGTCCCTCTCGCCTGGCTGGCGTCCGTGGACTTGGCGCTCCAGTGGGGCCTGTGGGCGGCCGCCGCCGCGCTCCGCACCGAGAAGTTCTTCGACCTGGCGGGTGAGCGGGGATTTCGGGGCTCCGGGTCCGACCTGGGATGGATCACGGCGCGGGATCTGCTGGCGGACCTCGTGGGGAGCGATCTGGGCGCTGCAGGGCGGCTCGTGCGGCCGCGCTTCCCTGTGTTTTTGGACCTGTTGCAGCGCCCCTTTCGCTGCTCTGCCCGCCTCTCGCATCTGCAGGTTTCTTCTGCGAGAAACCTTGCTTTCCAGGCCATGTAAATGCGCATTAACCTCCCTCGGGATGCGATTAATAAAATAAATGAAATAAATAGAATTAAACTGCCAGATCCCGCTCATTCCCTCCCCCCTTTCTTTTTCGGAATCAAGGCTGTGCAGCTAATAATAATTATAATTAATTTATATGCCATCCACAGCAAGAAATCAAACATTAAGAACTTCCCTAAACAGGGTTGCCTTCAGGTGTCTTCTGAAAGTTAGATAGTTGCTTATTTCCTTGACATCTGATGGGAGGGTGTTCCATGGGGCGGGCGCCACTATCAAGAAGACCCGTTTGGGATGACAGGTAACACAGGCGCAGTTTGAAAAAGCAAAAGGGGGAAAGGTTGTTAATAAAATCCACAGCCACCTTTATTCAGGCCAGCCCAAATGACACCAAATAAATAGCAAGCTCTTCCGGGCAAAAAATGTTACTTTTTCTTTGCGGGCCCCTTCAACTCTTCCCTGTCATCAGCACCCCCAGTTTCTCTGGGGTCCCCCAAGAAGCAAAGAAGGGTGCTGAGAATTGCACCCACTGACTCACATTGATTAAACCTGCGCTCCAGGCACTGTTATTTAAAGGACTCCAAGCCTGGTTAAGTCAAAGAATTTTGCTAGCCAAGGTTATAAAGCACTAGGCCCTACCGAGTGGTTTCTACATGAACAAGCCTTCGCTGACAGATCAAAATAAGTAGGGCTGCTGGGAGGGATCATATTGTCTCATCAGCCAAGGGGGAAATTAATCCCTTTTGTCCCTGCTGCCTTTGGGCTTTTAGAGCATATGATATACAGTGGTCTCTCAGGTTAAGAACTTAATTTGTTCTGGAGGTCCGTTCTTAACCTGAAACTGTTCTTAACCTGAAGCACCACTTTAGCTAATGGGGCTGCCGCACGATTTCTGTTCTCATCCTGAAGCAAAGTTCTTAACCTGAAGCACTATTTCTGGGTTAGCGGAGTCTGTAAGCTGAAACGTCTGTAACCTGAAGTGTCTGTAACCTGAGGTACCACTGTATAGGGTAGCATGCTGGAAGCTGATGCGGAAGGGAGCAACGCCGGATTTAGGGCAGTGAGAGTGGTTCTGTACAGGGTGCCGAGCTGATGGGGTGAAGAATAATAATAATAATAATAATAATAATAATATTTATATGGGTACCTACTCAAAGTTAGACCCTGGTCAGACAGGCAGTTAAGTTGCCACAACTGTGACGTAGTGCGTTGAGAGCATGCACTTCTAGCGAGAGGGCGCCAAATAAATATTTACAGTGCCAAATTTTGTCCTCACTCAGCGCACCATTTTTTCCCCCAAAACGGTTTTCCAAAACAGCACACCGTATTACCAAAGTCCCCCCCGAAGGGAGACTTCCAATAACCAGGGGTAAACGTCACAGAGGCAAAGTTGGTGCAATGACAAGTTGCATTGCAAGGGAGTTGGACTAGATGGCTCTTGGTACCCATGCCAGTTTCCCTCTTCCAGCTTTGACTTTAAAAGGTATGAGCAGGTGTCCTTAGAGCTGGCACCGGGAATGTATCGCCCTCCTCATGTTGCCGAACTACAGTCCCATCATCCTTGATTTCTGGCCCTGCTTGCTAGAGCTGATGGGAGATTTAGCAGACTTGGAGCCATTGTATGGGGGTGAATATGGGACACGGGTGGCGCTGTGGGTTAAACCACAGAGCCTAGGACTTGCCGATCAGAAGGTCGGCGGTTCGAATCCCCGAGACGGGGTGAGCTCCCGTTGCTCGGTCTCAGCTCCTGCCAACCTAGCAGTTCGAAAGCACAAAAGTGCAAGTAGATAAATAGGCACCGCTCTGGCGGGAAGGTAAACACCGTTTCCGTGTTCTGCTCTGGTTCGCCAGAAGCGGCTTAGTCATGCTGGCCACATGACCCGGAAGCTGTACGCCGGCTCCCTCGGCCAATAAAGCGAGATGAGCACCGCAACCCCAGTGTTGGTCACGGCTGGACCTAATGGTCAGGGGTCCCTTTACCCTTTACCTTTATGGGGGTGAATATTGCCTAATCTGTATGGTATACCACTTGCACACAAATAACTAGCTTCCCAGCCGCCCCGTGGAGTGATTGGCGATGCCCCCTAGGACTGGAAAGCTTTTAGCTCACAAACGCAGTGTGTTCAGCTCTGTCAGAGGCCTATTGTAACTGAGGCCAGATCATAGTATTGGAGGTTTGTGGGAAGTCTGTGCAGCCCTCTCCTTAGAAATACTGAGAACCTCTGTACCCAAACACTTAAATTATGTTCATTTCTTATTATTATTTTCATCATAATCAGCTGTTGGGGTGGGGTGGGGTAGGCAGGCCGGAATATAAGAGTAGCATTCAGATTCCAAAAAGAGAAAGCACTGCCGTGTTTCTAAGACGGCAGCTCTATAGAGCAAGCATGCCAGAGATCAAGCAGAAGCTGCAAATGGCTAATATCTGTAAGATAGCGATTAGATGTAGTGGAATATGAAACAGTAGTATTCAGTCACCGCTACTTGGGTGGAGAGAATATAGCATCCTCTTACTCATGGGTAGGCAAACTAAGGCCCGGGGGCCGGATCCGGCCCAATCAACTTCTAAATCTGGCCCGCGGACAGTCTGGGAATCAGCGTGTTTTTACATGAGTAGAGTGTGTCCTTTTATTTAAAATGCACCTCTGGGTTATTTGTGGGGCCTGCCTGGTGTTTTTACATGAGCAGAATGTGTCCTTTTATTTAAAATATATCTCTGGGTTATTTGTGGGGTATAGGAATTCATTCATTTTTTTCTTCAAAACATAGTCCGGCCCCCCACAAGGTCTGAGGGGCAGTGGACCGGCCCCCTGCTGAAAAAGTTTGCTGACCCCTGCACTAAAGGAGTTTATTAATGCTTCCCTGCTACAGACCTTGAGGATAGCTCAGCACAAGGATGGAGAATCGGTAGAGCATGAGACTGTTAATCTCAGGATTGTGGGTTGGAGTCCCATGTCAGGTGAACTCTCCCTGCATTGCAGTGGGTTGGACTAGGTCCTCACGGTCCTTTCCAATTCTACAATTCTATGATTCTATGAAATGCAAGGCCTGTATCACACCAGTGCAGCATTCAAGAGCCCCTGTGATGACTTTGGCCTGTTTTAGCTTCTGATGTTGCTCTTTCTGCCTCTCTAGGAAGCGGGACATTCATCTTGCTGGCACACCTGAGCCTCAGATGGGGCAATGCACAGCATCTTCGGCAGCAGGTCCAGACAGGGCTGGTGACTATTTGGGGCCTCAGGTGAGTTTCCAATGAGCTGTGTATTTGTTTCAGAGGCAGCGATGAGTTTGAGCCAATTCCACGATGCATCACCTCGACTCGTGTGCCTGCAGCCAGGAGAGCCTGATGGAATTGCCAATGAATGCTATTCTGGGGTTAACAGTGTTGATGGAACTGAATGTAAAAATCAAAGCACTGCATTATTATTTTTAAGGCTTTTAAAATCCAGTCACTTCTTACCGATTGATTTCCTCTTCAGCCTATGGCTGCAGCTCCAGCTATGATCCCACACAAGTGGGCTGCATTTATGCTGTGATTTTGCACAAGTACAGAAATACAAGTAGGGGGTTGGGTTTCTCGAGAATCTTAGCTATCATGTTCTCTTGCTTTTTTAAAATCACAAAGGAACAGATTTCTAGCCCTTATAGTTGTCAAGATACGTTTGACAGTGTGTGGACAATGCCTATTTAAAATCGGAGTTGTTGTTCGGTGCAATTTTCAGTGGCGGTGGCAGGGCTTGAGTTTTCTTCAAAGGTTCTTATCCTTCCCAGAAGCAACATATTATTTGTAACAGTAAAAATTCCGAATAATTACGCACAGTCAGATGGATTTGCTTAGTTTGTTCAGGTTGCAGCATTATTCTTTAGTACAGGATTTTTATTTTTAAATGCATTGCACACAGCTTTCCCCATGACTTATTTCTATGCCAGAAATGGCTTTTTCTCCTATATTTGTTTTTTATTAGGCTACTGTTGAAACAGAAGACCAGGATCACCAAAAATGTGGCAATTGCGAAGCTGCAGGCACTGCCAGCTGTTATCCGAGGCCTAGGAAGGCTCTGATTGCTTCCACGTAATGATGAACACCATTTCAAATATTTTCAATTATCTCTGCTGTTCTCAGGTTGGGGCTCTTCCTCTTCCTACGGATCCTGAAAGAGGGGCATGACAGGCGATTCAACGGCGTCAGAGAAAACTCCGGCACTTTCTTCCTATACTGGACAATGCAAGGTGAAGGCGTAGATAGTTTGGAACTGAAACCTATATCCCCTCACCAGTGAAATTTGGCCAGAAGCATTGAACAATTTACTGTATTTTCCGCTCTATAAGGCACACCAGACCACAAGACGCACCTAGTTTTTGGAGGAGGAAAACAAGAAAAAAAATATTCTGAATCTTGGAAGCCAGAACAGCAAGAGGGATCGCTGCACAGTGAAAGCAGCAATCCCTCTTGCTGTTCTGGCTTCTGGGATAGCTGCGCAGCCTGCATTCGCTCCGTAAGACGCACACACATTTCCCCTTACTTTTTAGGAGGGAAAAAGTGAGTCATATGGAGCAAAAAATACGGTAACTTACACATGCTTAGTGTGCTATGTGCTTTATTTCTGGGCTCAAAGAGCTGGTTCTACTAACCTTGAAACCCCTAAAGACTGCTGCAATGTGCTCTACGTGGGGCTACCTTTGAAGGTGAGTCGGAAACGACAACTAATCCAGAACGTTGCTGCCAGACTGGTGACTGGGAGCGACTGCCAGGACCATATAACACCGGTCCTAAAGGATCTATATTGGCTCCCAGAACGTTTCTGAGCACAATTCAAAGAGTTGGTGCTGTCCTTTAAAGCCTTAAACAGCCTTGGCCCCATATGCCCGAGGGAGTTTCTCCACCTCCATCTTTTAGCCCGGACACAGATCTAGCTCTGAAGGCCTTCTGGCTGTTAACTTCATTGCGAGAAGTGAGGTTACAGGGAACCAGTCAGAAGGCCTTCTCAATAGTCATGCCCGCCCTGTGGAACACCCTCCCATCAGATCTCAAGGAAATAAAGAACTATCTGTCTTTTAGGAGTCATCTGAAGGTAGCCTTGTATAGGGAAGCTTTTAATGCTTGCCGTTTTACTGTGCTTAATGTTTTTAATTCATTGGAAGCCACCTAGAGTGGCTGGGGCAACCCAGTCAGATGGGCAGCATGAAAATAATAAATTATTATTATTATTATTATTATTATTATTATTATTATTATTACTACTACTATGAATGGCTTGGGTCCAGTAACGCTTGTTAGGAGCTGCTTGCTGTAATATGCACCTTCCTGGGAATTCAAATCAAATTCTGAGGCCACCTCAGGATAGCCACTGGGTGAATGCAATATGTTTTTTGTTTAGCTCTGGAATGCTCTTCTCATCAAGATCCATCAGGCTCCCTCTGTGACTTTTCCTTAAGCAGTGGAAGTCAATATTGCTTTGATGGGCTTTTAATGTACAATGTCTTTTCGTGCCCCTGCTGCTGGCTTTCAGTGCTTCACATCTTTTAGCTTCACCCTCGTTGTTGTTTCTCTTAGTGGTGCTTGTCTTTAACAATCAGAAGCCAGAACTGAGCAGGACTTGCGTCCATCGATGGGTCTAGTGTGCCTTAATGTTCTGGAGAGCACTTTCCAGTTGGTTAGCAGAAGAGGGTTGGGGGGAACCTGTGCCCAAGCAGTCACATTTATTCAGATCGCAGAATTTAGCTTACAGAATTATGAGAAGACATAAAAAGGTAAAGGTAAAGGTACCCCTGCCCGTATGGGCCAGTCGTATCCGATTCTGGGATTGCGTGCTCATCTCGCTTAAGAGGCCGGGAGCCAGCGCTGTCCGGAGACACTTCTGGGTCACGTGGCCAGCGTGACAAAGCTGTTCTGGCAAGCCAGCACCAGTGCAGCGCACGGAAACATCGTTACCTTCCCGCTATAAAGCGGTACCTATTTATGTACTTGCACTTAAGAGTGCTTTTGAACTGCTAGGTGGGCAGGAGCTGGGACCGAACAACAGGAGCTCACCCCGCCGTGGGGATTCGAACCGCCGACCATGCGATCGGCAAGTCCTAGGCACTGAGGTTTTACCCACAGCGCCACCAGCGTCCCTGTGATCAGAAGACATAGGATGCACTTGAACATATACAAACCAGGCCTTTGCTAAAATAATGGGACTTTGGACTTTAAGGTAGAATGTGGTGACATTTTAAGAGGAAGAAAAGATTATACATTTTTAGGTGCCGGGCAAAAACGTTCCATTTTAACCAGCCCCTTTGGTTGATTTGATTGACATTGTATGCCCTTTTAAAATGTGGTTTTTTTGGGGGGGGTGTTATTGGGTTGTTGTTTTTATTTTGATTATATATTTTGTGGTTTTATATTTTGATTATTTTTTTGTGAACCGCCCTGAGATCTCTGGGTATAGGATGGTATATAAATTCAATAAATAATAATATTTCTGGGTGCAGCTGCTAAGTTACAGGCCTACAGCACAATTCTACTCAGGAGTAAGACGGAACTTTCTCCCAAGTAAGTGCGCAGTCTTGTCTGCCCTGTTGTTTTTGCAAATGTATACAGCCTAATCTATCCTGGCTTCATGTTTTGACAGGTATATGGGTGTTTGTAACATTGCTTCCCACTCTGTTGCTGAACCTGGAGAAACACCAGAAGCCTCTTGGATTCTGGGACTATTTTGGATGGAGCATTTGGGCCGTGGGGTTTGTTACAGAGGCTATAGCTGACCAACAGAAGTGGCATTTCAGAAGCAACCCTGACAACGCTGTGAGTAATGGCTGTGAGGTTCTCTGCTATATTGGCTTTAGGGAGCCCTTGACTATAGGGGGAGATGCAATAGGACACAGGATCTCAGTGCTCACAGGCAGGAGGAGTTTGTACACTAGGACCAAACCATGTCATTACCAAGGAGGCATGTTTAGTCATTCTCTGAAGAACATCCCTGTCTGCTACTCTGATCCTGACCAGAAGGATACAGTATCAACAAGGGTGTCCCACATGACCTTAAGGTGCTGTTGTGCAATGCCAGGTCAATGATTCGTAAGACCACTGCCATCCATGACTTGATTGTGGATGGAGGAATTGACCTCATATGCATAACAGAGACTAGATGTACAACTCAACTGGTGATGTAACATGATTTGCTAGTTTACCTAGATGTAACATGGTTTTATCAGTTTGAAGCATTTAAACCAATCAAAAGCTAGCTTTTCTGGCAAAGCAAGAATCAAAGGCACAGACCCAACAAGAGGAAAATAAATCTAAAGGTAGACATGGTTCCAACTTCTTTACTGTTCTTACATTAATAATAGCTTGCAGAGCCACCCAATTAAAGCTTGGGCTAAGAGACAACGTACTCGCATCTCTCTACTGAAATACCTTTTCATTAATGTAGGATGTCTAAGAGTCCAATTAGGAAAAGCTATGTTCTCACAAAAAAGGGACACTTCATTAGGCAGAATCTTGCTTTGGAAATCTTAGCCCATCAAGCATGGGGAGATTGGCTCTTTGTGATAACAGCAATCCTGCTAATAGGGATGCTAGCTTTGGAATTGGCAATGCGTATTCGTTGCTGAAGGTAGCTAGGCAGGAAAAGAGATCCTGCTTAGTATGTGGGTATTCACTGGTATTGATTTGGATAAGCCGACTGAATTCTGCACATATATTCAACCAGTGAATTTCTTTCATAATTGGAACCAGCTATGGAGTTAGGCTGCACAATAAAACTGACACTTTTTATTTTAAAATCTCCCTAGGGGAAGTTTATCCAGAGTGGCCTATGGGCTTACAGTCGTCACCCCAACTACCTGGGCGAGATCTTGCTGTGGACAGGACTTTTTGTGTCGGCCACCCCAGTACTACGTGGCTGGCAATACTTCAGCGTCACCTCACCGCTGCTGGTGTGGTTCTTGCTCAATTTTATCAGTGGGATTCCAATCCTCGAAAAAGCAGCCATGAAGAGATGGGGGAAAGAGGCGGCGTTTCAGGCTTACTTGCAGAAGACTCCCGTGCTGTGGCCTATCAGCTTGAAGTGATCAGAGAAACGCTCTTTGGGACATTGAACACAAAACAGCTGTAGCACGGGGACCATTTTAAATTGTACACAGCCGTGGCATTTGTGTTTAGCTCCCAGGCTGTTCTCATGCAATGGCTTAAACCACAAGTTTTCAACCTTTCTGAGTCCACGGCTCCCTTGACAAACTGCGTTCTTTCTAAGGCTCCCCTGTGGGGAAACGTGCTCTGAGCTGCGGGAGCCCAGTTGTGTCACCCCTTGCCTGCAGAGCTGGCAGCCCCTCACCCCTTTCAAGCACTCTCCCTTCTGATCTCTGAGCTGCCCCCCGCCCCAAAGAGAGGTGTCTCCTCATGCCCAGGGGCCTGGGAAGAGGATGCTCCCAGCCTTAGCAGCCTGAGAGACTTGCCAAAGGTGAACATGAGGCAGACAACTTAACTCACCTTGAGAGGCAGCTGTGGGCCTGCGTGGAGGAAAGGCTCCCCTTCGGTGCTGGGCACTTGGCTCCCAGGCAGGCATTGCACACTAGGGTGGTTCATAAAAAACTTTTTTAAAAATGCCTGCTCCAAAGGTCTTATTTTACCACACTAGGGACGCGGGTGGCACTGTGGGTTAAACCACAGAGCCTAGGGCTTGCCGATCAGAAGGTCGGCGGTTCGAATCCCTGCGACGGGGTGAGCTCCCGTTGCTCGGTCCCAGCTCCTGCCAACCTACTAGTTCAAAAGCACATGGCATTTCCGTGCGCTGCTCTGGTTCACCAGAAGCGGTTTAGTCATGCTGGCCACATGACCCAGAAGCTGTATGCCGGCTCCCTTGGCCAATAAAGTGAGATGAGCGCCGCAACCCCAGAGTCGTCCGCGACTGGACTGAATGGTCAGGGGTCCCTTTACCTTTACCTAGGGATTATATAGCTATATCTGAAATTTCATGCACATCAGTTAATATCTTGACCCTGCTCCACTGAAAAGCTTTGGGTGTTCAGTAGGGCAGTTCATAAAAAACTTTTTTTTGGAAAAATGCCTCACTAGGGATTATATAGCTGTATCTGAAATTTCATGCATATCAGTTAATATATCGACCCTCCTCCACACGAAAATAGCTGTTTACTTGGCTGTTTTCCTATGTCGTGAAGGCTGAAATTTCAATTCAGTGGAGCAGGGTTAAAGGTATTAACTGATATGCCGCGCAAGCCTTTGGGAGGCAGAGATGCAAGAGGGCATCAGAGGAGGGAGGGAAAGAGGAACAAAGGCCCACGTTGCCCACGACTATCATTCTAGACACCCCAGGATGCCACGGCATACTGATTGAAAACCACCGGCTTAACAAAAGCCTGTGTTTTATGTGGTGAAAGCTCCACGACTTGTGCTGTAAGGTAGTACACGCAAATCGCTTGTCATGCAGAGGCAGCCACTGACCTGGGTGGCTTAACATCTGGCCTTCCAGATGTTGGAGTCCCAGTTCCCACCAGCATGGTCTGTAGTCGGGGATGATGGGAACTGTAATCCAATAATTTAGAGGGCCCAAATTGCTAAGGGGGGCACTGTGAACGCTAACCCTTGGAGTAGTTATTTCATATGCGCCCTTCCTCAGGGAACAAGTGCCAGTGTTTCAGCACACAGAGTAGTCTGTTAGTTATCGTTACATCAGTAGCATTTCCCTCGTTGCCCTGGAACAGCAATGTCTGGCATAAAACACTTAATCTGAGATTAGAAGGCAGTGCTGGTCTTTTAGCTTCAATTACATAAAGTAGCTGGAAGGCTTTGCTCTCTTCTTGGTAAGTGGGTGCCCCTTGCCTAGCTGCCTGAGGCGTTAATCCCAATAATCCAGTGTACAGAGAAAAGAGGAGATCATAGCCAGTAAGTTCACCTTTTGTAGAAAGAAGTATGAATATAACCTGCCAAAGCTGGGTTAGCAGCAGATAACACACCAGCTATGGCAGAGCCATTCTGCCCGTGTCCAACTTTGTAGAAAAGTCAACATTCCCTTTTGTATTTTTATTTAAAGCCACCCTTATAAAACCTCTGGCTTTGATAAAGCTGTACTGCTGGTAATTAGAGTTTGTTTCAGCAACTACAGAGTATTAGGTATTGCCCTCTACCCCTTGAAATCTGTATTCTGACAGGCAGGGCATGCTTTTAGAAGGAGATTCTTTTGCAGCAGTCTCTTTACACTGAAAATTTTAAGTAAAGACTTGTTGCTTCTCAGTCAGCCTTGCTACATTTTAGTATACATTCCTTACTGTATTATTATTTAGTGGATTTATATACTGCCCTATAACTTGAGGTCTCGAGGCAGTTCACAGAACAAAATAAAAATACAAAACCACAAAATATATAATCAAAATAAAAACAACTACCCAATACTCCTCCCCCCCAAAAACACACACATTTTAAAAGGGCTGTAAAGTAGTGTAACTGAAGAAGGAATCTTCAGCTGTGAGGGCAAAATACATTCTGAGAAAGTAGGATTGAAAGAAACTGGATTTGTTTTCATTGCTGCTGGGTTTTGGTTCTGTGTAACATTCTTCCCGAAATATGCTATCTGCTCTTACTGCACACAAGGTGGAGTTAAAAAGCAGGACCGCCAGCAATAAAAAATTAGACCAGGCCAAATTTCTATTGAGTCTAGCGTCATTAAGTCTCCAACCATAGCCATATAAGACTGTGAAATTCAAGCAGCGACATGATAAGCATGGGCAGTTTATTTCCTCTGATCAAGACTGAATTTATCAAGAGGAACCTACAGCACTTGATAATTCTTCCCTTCACAAACCTATTTTTAAAAAGTTACTGGCTATCTCCATATTTTGTGGCAATAAATTCCATAAGATACATCTATGAAGTAAACTATGATTGACCTGAAACTGTAATTCAAGCCCATTTGAAGTGCCAGAAGTTCTTATTTAACAGATAACTCTTTGCTGTCTCTTCTATCTTGTTTGTACTCAAGAGATATGAGCTTTATTGCAAAAGTGGCTTGAACCCCAAAGTCATTTTAGTTGCACTTTTCTACCTCCCAGGATACAGTGTTTGTGTGGGAGATGAATACTCCTAGTTATTTTTAACCGTGGTTGCAACATGCTATTTCTTTACTTTTTTTCCTATCACCTTTTCCCTGCTACAGCATAGTTGTTTTCTACCGTTAACCTCAAAATAACTATAACTACCAAGGAGAATGCATTTGTATGAGAAGTTCAAGGTTTCTGGCCATACATGCATTACTTTGCACTTCTACTGAATGTGATCTCCCCTTCTGCTGCCCTTGTGCCTAGTTTCAAGGGATCAATTTTGGGGGTTCTTTGCAAACTCGGATCTCTCACCCACCCAAACTCTAGGCAATATTTGAGCAAATTAGTAAGTATCCAACAGCAGATCCTATGGGGACTATCCCCCCCCCCATTGCAAAAACAGGCCATTTATTTCTGCCAGCTTCCTGTTGATCCTTGTTCTTTGGTTTAAATGTCGAGGACTTAAAAATGGGTTCCACTTCCATTAACATTCTGAGCAACAGAACACAGAGCAGATATCCATCTGTTATAGGAAGCAGAGAACACTTCGAAGTAAAGATAGGGGAATGTATCTTATAAGTTAGTTCAACATGTCATTCCAGAAACAGAGCAAGATGATCTAAGAGTTTTAATATTTTTAGCTGTCATTAAAAAGTTATTGAGAAGGTTCCATATAACAAAAAATAACTGCATTAACTCAAGTGACTTGTCTACAGTTGTTTTAATGATAAAGGACAGTTTGCACTGAACAGCAACAAACATAGGCTGGAAAAATGTGCTTTTCCTAATCAAGCCTTTTTCAATGAGATACAGGAATTGCAGGTGTTAGTTCCATTTATTCCCATCTTCCACTGCTCTGAGCATGGTACGACGACAATGGCCATTGAAAATCTTTGGGTTGGTTGACATAATTCTAAACCATGGTTTAGTTTAGTCCTTATGTCATAAAACCAGAAGGACTTTGATGGTGTTTACATTTACTTTTCAAGAACCATGGCTTGTTACATACAAGGCAGAGATTGTGGTTCAAAACAAACTGGTTAGTTAAGCAAGCCAGCTTCAAAACCCATGGCTTGAAGTTTATTTGTTTAGAAACTGAACAGTTTGTTTTCTGCTACAATCTCTGGTTCGTATGCAGTAAGCCATGATTCTGGAAAATGAAAGTAAATGTGAGTGAAGTCTTTCTTCTGCCCACCCAGGAGGAGGAGCCCAGGAGCCCTGTTTTTCTTGGGCACTTTGCTTGTGCTAAACCATGGTTAAAATGTTATGCGCAAACAGGGAAGTACAAAACTATTAATCTGATGGACTGGCGACGCTGCAGCATTTGGGGGAGACACTGAGCATTGCAAACATTAACCTGAAAATTGACACACTTTATGGAAATACAATTCAATACTCCACAAAATAATATGGGCCATGTTAAGATACAATTAAACTTTTTTTTGATGGGCCACAACACAAAATAAAGACACTCTTGCAAAATCAGTGGTGTATTTACAAGTGTTGGTAAGACAAACCTTTGTGGGAAAAACTAAACTGGTTGAGTCTTCCACTGCATCTCACAAACAAACAATATGTTCATCTTCTATCCATTAAGTATCCTGCTAAAAACCCAGGATTTTACAGAAAATAAATATAAGGGTAAAACCAAACTGCTATGGCTACAACATGACTAAAACGTTTCCACACTTAACACATGCTTTTATCAGCAATCTAGGCAGTTAAAATAATTCAAGCCAGGTTTCTGAAAGGTTGCAGGTGAAGATTAAGATGCTCAATTCAGTATCCTATTGTTTACTCTGTGCCCTCCTCTGGTGCACAAGGAAGAAGCTCAAGAATGCACTATGGAACACTGGGTTTCCATTTTTCACGTAACCAACTTCTGAGTTTACTTACTTAAAAATCACTTAAAAAGACTAACCAGGAAAGTTCAACATGCACAGTTCTTTGAAACAAGGAAGATTACTGCTGGTGCAAAAATGTATCATTTCCAACAACAATGCACAACTGAAACAAGAATGGGGTGCTTTGAACAGGTGGAGATAATATCCGAGCTACAGAAAACATTTAAAAAAGAACTTTTTGCAGTTTCCCTATATAGGGGTTTGCCAGTTATTTCTCATAAATGTAATATGGCAATAGATACTATACACTGCAGAATAAAAATAGTCTCTTAACTGAAAATGGTATACAGTTGATCCTAGTACACAATGTTGCTGGGAACAAGCGAAGGAACAATTTCAGATTTTATTGCAGCTGTTCATAATCGGACTGCAGGATGATGTTCAGTATGAAACCATGCTTCATTTCAGCATTGGAGAGGCAAAGAAATTACCCTGGCGTCCAATGCTGGTTGCAGATTTGCTTTTGCTGGCAAATCTAGGGAAAAAGAAAGGGAGAGACTCGGCATGAAATGGTTTTCAGTGTCCTAGCATTTGCTTTGGTGGATGAACATGTTTGAGCAAACAATGACTGTTTCTGCACCCACATTTTCACTTTTGTTGAGCACTTAACAAATAACTCATATGCCATTAATGCTGAAAATGCCCAATGGAAATTCCGCAGATTTTCAAAGTACTTGAGCAGATACAGCCCAAGACAAGATTAGTACAAGTAAAAATCTTCTTTACATATATTGCTTTCTCGCCCCAACCCCACCCAAGTGATGTTGCCAACATTTCAGGGTATGCAGCAGTCTCCAGGAGTCATGATTACCTCCAGGCTGGCCACTTTGATGAAGTTGGAACAAATGGGATTGTGAATTGCAGTTCCCTAGCAACTGAGCTATTTTGCCTTTTCCTAGCTACAGCAAAACTAGCTAGAGGCAGATGCACGGGAGAGCAGCTGTGGTACCCCGCCTCATGTTCAAGACCCGTACCCAAGCCAAATACCATCGCTCCCTTATGAGCAGCCTCAAGCATTGCAGTCAACTTTGCTTGAAGGCAAGTGGTGGTTCTTTCAGAACATTACACTCTAGACATGGATCAACTGTTCACTTTGTTTTACTCATTGCCAGCTTGTTTTGTCTGATTCCAGACCACCCCGTCATCTGCTTGAAACAAGCCACAGAACTCCTCAGCAACAATACTTTCTGCCTACTGCCGAGCTAAACTGATGGCTACAGTGACGCTGCTAGAGTCCTGGAGCCCTTTCTAACGTGGGAGGAAAATGCTGTCTGCTAGGTCAAGGAAGCAACGGCCCAACTTACTTGGGTGTGTTTTTGCTGAATGTAGACCTGACCCTCTGGGAGAGCGAACTGCTTGAAGGGGTCTTAACCATTTGTTGCTCTGGAGTGGTGAGTGGTCCCAACATGCTCACTTTGAAGCAAGAAGACACAAGCATAGCACCGTAGTTAGCATTCTTAATCAGCAATATCTTATCTCAGATAAAGTAGTTTCGGCCTTAGAGACGTACTTGTGAACATTCTGAAGGAACTAATAATAAACAATTTTAAGAGGCAGCATTTCTCATTCTGGTTGCTATTGCCCAGTTCATGAGGGGGTGAAGTCACCCTCTTTAGGGTTGAAAAGAATGAGGCACAAGTATACACATCCTACTGTTCAGGCTGCCACTAAGGAATACTGTACGTTCCCAACAGCCCACCAATGCGATGCGTTTTTCTGCCGAAGAATTTCAGCTCTTGCAACAACGAAGCACAGTTTATGCAGATTCAAGTAGCGTAACCGGTTCTCCTAATCAAACACAGTCCCAGAATGTAAAAAAAGAGTGTTGTCTCTGGAAATGGCAACCCCATGTCAAACCCTGCTCTGTTTAATGCACGGCCAATCTTTCATATATTGGACTCCAACTCACATCCGTACGGCCAACTGTCTGGGATGAGAATTGTAGCCAAACAACATCTGGAAAGCACCACGCTGGCCACCCCTACAATGCACTGCAACAGAAATGCATAATGTGATAGTGTTGGGATCTGCTTCTCAGCACTGGCTGCCAGCAAACAGGGAAAAGTGCAATATGATGCTGCTATGAATTTCCCTTACAGTAATCTATAAAAGGCAAGGTAAAGGACTCCTGGACAGTTAAGTCCAGTTAAAGGCAACTATGGGGTGTGGCGCTTATCTCGCTTTTCAGGCCGAGGGAGCCGGCGTTTGTCCACAGCTAGCTTTCTGCATCATGTGGCCAGCAGGACTAAACTGCTTCTGGCGCAACAGGACACTGTGACGGAAGCCAGAATGCACGGAAATGCAGTTTTCCCTTACAGAATGTTGCAGGCAAGAGGAGAGTGAATTCAACAGGAAGTTGCCATTTCTGGCAGGAGCACCACATTCTGAGGCATATCTAATCACACACTGTAGCTTTTTGCTCCAGGAATATGAATTTAGGATGATGCAGCCTCAAGTTTTAGCACTGCAGGGATGACCAAGAATGAATTGAAGAAAAGGGGATTGTCGGCAGGAGTTAAATGGACAAAAGGTAACATTAGCACAACAGCCTGAATAATGATTAAAACCAATATCTGGCACTAAGAAATGAAAAGGCTAGGTTGTTTGTTGAAAGGACCATTTTTCTTTTAATTCCCAATAGGTAGCCATTAAATAGGGCATGGTTACCTTTAACATCTGGTGTGCAGGGTGTGGAGTAGGCATTTGAGTTTTCAATGATATGTGCTGGTTCAATGTTTTCCTGTTCCACCATCATGAACTGACTCCAATATTCCACAGGCAAGCAGATCAGCCGCTCCACCACCTACAGAAGCACACTGGCATGTGACTCACTCCTCTTTCAGAACAGCATAGACAAATACCAGCAATGCAATCGATACATTTTGGCTGCCAAAAGTTCACATTCTGCCTCAATTTACACTGCTGACCTACCTTGGGTTGCCTTTTTGTATCCTGGAGTAGTGTCATGGGTTCAGGATCTGGCACAGCATGACCAACAATTGTAGGTCCAAAGACCTTGGACAAGTTGGAGACATCCATTTTTGTATCTGGACTTTGGGCCACTCTAGACAAAGAGACAGAGCATTTGTGTAAAGCAAGCCTGCCATTCTTCTTGGTTCACAAGCCCATTGATCATTGGTTTATTAACTCATTCCCCCACGCCAACAGAATTATATCATTTTTTCCACACTAACTCTTCCAGAATCTATATCCCAACTGGACTCACCTCTGGAGGTGTATCATAAGGAAAGCCAGAGTGTCTCGGTTAGCCTGCGGCAGCTCCCCAACTGTTTGATACATGGCTGCCACACTATTGTCTTCATCAACTATTTCTTTAAACAAAACAAAACAAATAGCATTTCTATGACTGCTTTCAACATATCAATAGGGTTTCATTAAGAGACAGGACACAAGTTGTGTCTCATGTGTTTAATAACACAAATACAAAGCAACAGGAGTTACCATCACTATCAAATCAGTAGAATGTCCCATCTCAATATTGGGAAAGGGAAGATTTATTGAAATAGGCAACTCAATTGGAATTTTCCCGACTACTGTAACATCTACAGAACAAAGACAAATGAGACAGAAAAACCTATCTGCTATGTGTCGCCTAGTGCTCAACATGATGCATGGGAAAATTATTAGGGGAGTCAAACTACTCTATGACACTATCCCAACGAGGGCAGCACGCATAGGTCCAGCCTAGTTTATGTGTGCTGAACTGTGCTAGGAGCTAAATGAACCCATCAACTTATATTTGAAGACTTGCTGCAATACCAGGGTTTCTGTTGGGGGATTTTTAAAAAAGGTAGTTTGCAACAGAGCAGATATAAAAGTGCTCCTTGCAACATAGTCTATTGCTTTCCTATTAGTATTGTATTAAGGTTTTTCATTACACACAATAAAGAGTGAAACAAATGGAGAAGAATTAGCACACTAAAATGAGAGGGAAGAGCTTCATTGAAAAATGGGTATCATCCCTTTGGGTGACATAACACCGTTGGTAAGAAAAGAGGCTTCTAATAATGTAATTATGTCCTTATTGTTATAGTCTTAAGGGCCTGTTATTTAAAATAGATTTTCAGTCAGACAAGTAGGAGGTTTTCTTACTGGATTTTCAGTCAGACAAGTAGGTGGTTATCAAAAAACAGAAGGCAAGTGAAACAAGAGATGGAAAGTGGTGTGTAGGAGGATGGTTGTGTCAACTAGGCTAGGAGTACCAGCTAGTACCAGGTCATAGCAGCTGCTGTTTGGGGGAAATATTGTAATCAATAATCAAATAAGTCCAGAATGGCATTACATTTAGGCAAATAGTTCATTTGTGCCTGTTACTCACTCTTAAAAGCCAGTTCTAAGAGTTCCACTATCCAACCATCAATATCAGCTGTAAAATATATTTCTGTTTGTCGCTGGTGCAACAACAGAGAATCAAATAGTTATCTTCCTTGTGATAGGGGATGACTCCGTATGATGAAAGACAGGGAGCCAGTGTTTTGTAAGCTTGCGCATTGAAGAAATGCCCATATCACTTGGGACAGCCATAATTCTTACCTGCTGCCTCCATAAAAGCCCTGTTGAGACGGAAGGTGAGGAGAGGCTCCTTCAGGTTGCGGAGGAAGTCTTTCAGGAGACCACACACAGCATGGATATCTTCCACCTTGCTAAGCAGGGGCACAGTCTTCCCTCGAAGGAACTTTTCCTTCAAATCTTTCACTGTACGATCACAACCAGAAATTCGGTAGAGGCCTGTCTGTTGAAAGAACAGTATGTTAACCTATGTTCAAAGTTTTTAGCTTTGGTGGACCCCATCTCCCAGTGCATAAGGGTATGATCTTAATAACAGCACAAACATTTTTTTACTTCAATGGCTGCAAACTCTCATAGGGCCCCAAAAGGTAGACAGTATATAATTCTCTTCATTCCAAATAGCATAAACAAGATGATGCACACTTTTCAAGTTCTTACCTCATGCAGCCCTCGCTGCTCAATCTCATTCACACAGTGAACTATGATAGAGGGGATCATGGGAGGCGTCAGAGATACAAAATCCATTAGCACTCCCTGAAAAAGAGGAACACAGTGATTTTCCATCCATACCCTACTCACTAGAAGTCTCACAGAAGAAAGATTCTTTAAGAGGACAAAGGCACAGGTTTCAGGTCTTCCAACAGACAACTTGACCATAACCTACCTACAGAATCCTTGATGGAAAACAGCTCATAACTGCACTCCAGGAAAATAGGGAGCAAAATTGCTTTAAACTGATTTTTGCAACCAAGTGCCACAATCAAAATCTCAAGTGCAAATCCTACTATTGAATTCTGTTATAGATCATAGTACAAATATGAAGAAATATGAGTATAAACCTGTGAAATTGTTAGTGGTGGAGACACTAGAAATGCTTGGAGAAACATCATACATTTTCTGGCTGGTGTGAAGGATGTGTGCTTGTTAATAGCACAGGTGTAACAAAGATTCTACCACAGAGACATCACATTCTTTTTCCCACATTACTTAAAACTGCATAATCTAAAGATAACATCCCCAAGACCTTTCTGAAAAACCCTAGGCATGCACAAAAAATGATAAGATCTAACTGAGCAGCTGTTAACTCCTGGTTCCTTTAGGGAAAAGGTGGCAGACATTGTTAGCAGTTATTTTGTTCTGCTCATCTTTCACTTTACATCTGGCTAGGTACAAGCACCCCAAAGCAGCATGGAAACCTTATGTTTGTACATAATCCTAAAGTTACTAATAGGAAGCATACAGCTTTAGACTTTCTTTAAATCACTGGCCCTCTAGCTGTTCTAGCTTTGTGTGAAGCCTCCGCAGGGCACAGGGAGCCTTCATCCCCGTGCCCTGCAAAGGCTTTGCGGGGCTATCCCTGGCTTTTGGGGGGTGGGGCACAGCTCTGTCCCTTCCCCCACCTCCCAGAAAAAACCCCAAAGGCCGCGCTCCCTTTAAAGAGCCATGTGGAGCGTGTGCGGCTCTTGGGGAAAAGCCTGCAAGCGCTGCACACAAGCTCCTCGCGGCTCGTGAAAGGGAGAGCTGAGCAGAGCCTGGGATGCAGACAGGCTCTGCTCGGCACTCCCTTTAAAAAAATTTTTTCTTGCATTCCCCCTCTAAAAACTAGGTGCGTCTTATGGTCAGGTGCGAAAAATACGGTATGTATTCTTTCAATAGGTTGAGTAAGATTTGTAAGTTTAAAAATGTTCCTGGAGAAGCATGTTTAAGTATGCTGCAAGTCACTTTGGGATACTCTTTGTGTAAGAAGTGACAAATAAGTATAAATTTAAAAAAAACCATTTTGTTCTTTAGATTCAACAGAAAACTTTTCAGTTGTAGGCCACTGAAGATACTGCACATACAGAAGCATACCTCTCCAATTCTGACAGGGGTTCCTGCCAAGGTAGGGATGCAGGGCAAGGGGCAGCGATCTCGACATTCTGGGTGTGTCACTACCCGACAGTCTCGGCACTTCAAGGCCACTTTCCCAAACTTTATCCGCTTGCCACATGGAACACACGACTCGGGTTTAATAACCTGGAGAGAGACTACACATGTTAGGAACAGCTTGATCTGAAATAAGCACTGAAATATATTTAGTCCAGATAAGGACCCTTATCCAAATCAGTAGCTTATTCATTTGAATATCACCCCACCAGTCAGCTAGAGAGGCTCTCAAAACTGCTAATCACCAAAACTGACATAAAAGTCAATCTAGAAAAACATAATATCATTCTGGTTAAGAACAGCAAGTGCAAACCACAGCAGCAACATGAGTCAGTCAGTCAAATGCCTTCATGAGCAAGAAGGCTTTGAATGCAACTTCTGACTCAGTAAGCTTGACATATGAGCCACTCTGGGCAGGTAAGTGGGTACACTGGCAGCTATGATGCAGCAGCTAGGGAGCTACTTTGCACAACACAATAGTCTCATTGCAATTGCAGGCTTCATGGGCAAGCCAGATTTAAAACAGTTTCTCTACTCTGCTTACGAGATGTCAGACAGAATTTGCTAATGTCTCCCTAAACATGCATCCCTGGGCTGGGCTCAGTTAGCTAAGCCATGATTTCACTGTATGCTTGGTATCTTAAAAGATTACAGCAACAATTGATTAAATATGTTTGCATTGTGCTAAAGGGTACCAACGCAGATGTCCTGCTTACCTCAAAAGATGATGGTACTCAGGTTCCCAGGAACCCCAGGGAGAAGAGGAGAGGTTCACATCTAAAGAGGTGTTTGTCAAGTATTTGTCAAGTATTCTGGGCTCAAAATATTTAGGGCTTTGAAAAAGACAAAGCCAACACTTTGAAAAGGGTCCACAAACTGGTACCCTGCCCAGCACTAATAAACCTGCTAAAAATAACAAAAGAGGAATTCACACAGGCTGATCATTGCCTGCTTGCTCACCGTTTTTGATACAAATTCATGTAGCCTCATCCCAGTGTTCCCAGGAGTGCTAGATCCATCTGTTTCAGATTTGTTTTCCTGCTTCCTGCTTCCCAGGCTTGAATCACTGCTCCAAGGTTGTAGAATGGCTTGGGAGGAGACAAGTCACAGTCATTTTACAGATTCTGCCTTTGAAATAGGTTTCAGGGGGAGAATAGGGACCCCCAATTTAGAAGCGGGTAAATATACCATTTCTCACAAAAGCTACCACTACTCTAGTTGCAAGCTAATGCAACTAGAAAGAAGTTTCAAGATATCCAATTTTGTCTCATCTTTCCTATTTTTTGTATTAAAATAATGACGATTTCACTTTAAACACACACAAGGGTTACATTTAGATCCTTTTCCCATCACAGCAGCTCAGGCTTGAGAGGGAGGGATATTTGGCGGTCAGCTTTCAGTGTACCTCCTTAATCCTTCTTACAGTAGAAATAGAAACAGATGTGTGGGATGGATTTAAGCAGAACAGATAAAATGTTTCAGGAGTGTTTTCCCCTCCTCTATATTATAAAATACGAAATGGAATAAAACTATGCAGTATAAGAGTGACAGAGGAAAGTATGCTCTTAGTTTATCCATAACAGATTTGAAACATAATTCAAATATGTGCTGCCATTTCCTGTTGAACTTCGGCAGCCAACAGTATCCTCTGCAGTGCTTAGTCACAGAAAATGACTCTCACTTGTATCAGCAACCTTCTGGCTGCAAAATGGATTAACGGCTGTGGTTACAGGGAAGTCACAGTATTAAATTTGAAATGCAAGTAATAATCTGAAAGCAGGCACTTACCTGCCTTTCTACGGTCTGCAATATAGCAAGGTACAGTTTCAATAGTGGCGATTGCTTCAATTGGGCCTCCATCATTAGGCACTGTGAGAGTCGTTTTTGCAACTATTGATTCATTTCCCTGAAATGAGACAGCCAAGAGATTAACGGGTGCAAGATGCACCTAAGGGTCATATATAAGAATCTCTCTTTACCCGAGCATATGCAACCTGTTATCCATGTTAATGGTGCAGCCTTGAGCACCTACTCAGCATATGAAAATCTTGGCTTCAAAATAAAGGCATCCACAGTGAAAGTGAGGAGCTGGCCACTAGATTGTAGTTGGACACTTTATATTACTGCTATATCCTGCTCCAACCAGATAAAATGAAAATATGCCCAGGCATGGTAGTGCATGGATGACTCCTACATATGACTGGCATCTTGATCAGCAACCTTCTTACATCTGATGTTTTATCATTTACAGGATTTTCTAAGAACAGAATACACAAGTCATTCACAAAGTGTGCCATCGAAAGGTAGATCCACTGAATGATGTATCTGGGAGCACACAATGCAGCGCTATTCTGATGTTAAGCGAATGTGGACTATTGTCTGGGAAACTATTCAGAGCACCACATAAGCCACTCAGAGCTTTTCTGCAGGGAAAACACAATACAATACAATAAATGACAATGTAAATAGCCAAATGGCTGCAATATCAGATAGGGCTCTATATTAAGACTTGAACCGTGAGTTCATAAAAAGTAGATGTTGACCCACACAATATTTGATACACTCTGTATAGATGTTGAGGTGCCAATTGTGCTGATCATTCCCACTGTGCAATGAATTTGTACGATAGCACAGAGTTGGAGATTTGCCACCTGATCAGGGTCAACAACATTTCTCCACCTTTCATTTTGGGTATGGAGAAGCAGTCATATCATCTACATTGCACTCTGGGTGGTACATGTTATGTCGTAAAGTAATGTATAATACTAAGCACCACTCCACCTATCCCAAAATCCACAGGCACTTCTGTCAAAAGGAAGGTTATATAAACTATGCAAAGTTGCATACCTGGTCCACGGTAGAACCAATGGAACGAGTTTTCTTTAAACAACCTGGTGGGCCTTCTATAAACTGTCTGGATGAGCGCTGTAAAGAAAAAATTGCAATACCATGTTTGGGTCAAAACACTACAGAATTTTTGAGAAAGCAGAAAATGCATTCTATTGGAATACTCAAGACACTAAATGATGTTATATATATCTGTATTTACAAGAGATGCGATATTCTTGAAATGATCTGCGTAGAATTTTAAGTAAACCTTTCTGAAGTGCCCTTTCCCGCTTGAGATATGCCAAGAAGATACACTTCTCACCTAGTAACCAGACGAAAGTGAAGAGAATTGAATGGGAAGGGAGGAAGAAATGACACACTCTGCTTTAGGATTCCACCCCCACCCCCCACTAGTATATATGAAGCAGAACTCAAAGTTTCAGCTGTGCTATCCTGCAAGCCAAAATGAGACGGAAATTGTAACTTCTATCGTTGATGTCATGAAACTGTCTTCAGATCTGTCCTACTTGATCTCAAAGCCCTTGTACAAGGCATTAAAGCATTTCAAAAGAAAATTCCAGGTTTGAAACAAGCAGCTCAGAGGAATACATCTTGAAATTTAAGTGGCTCTCTAGATTATGCCAGCCTGGAAAGGCTGTTTGTATTGCTGACATAAGGGAAGCACACACTTGACTAGGAAATCTATCCATCATGTGCGTTAAAAAAAGAGGACAAATTATTGCATATGTATATTGATGTACACTTTAAAAGTTCACACTCAAGGAGTTTAGAAAATATTTGCCAGTTTGACCATTTGTAACTATTGCCACTTGATACCAAGACACCTAAGTGAAGTAGTGAATATGCATATGGATACCAATGGAGAATTGAAACCTGTGTGAACGAACACACACACACAACTCATTTTTGCATTAGACCATTACAAGTCAGTAAAGGGAAAAGTACATACCCTTTTCTCTCTTTTCTTCAGTTTGACAGTCTTTACCACTGTGGAATCCCATTCCTGAAGATACAAGAAAAATCTGATTGGCATTATGAAGGCAGCAAATTTCTATGTGTTGTTTGTTTGGTTTTATCCTCAATTTATGTTACTAAATCTATGACTCTTATGACCTGCTAGACCGCAAAACTATTTGGTATAGCACTGAATGGAATCTAGGAGCAAAAGGTTAATACAGAAGTACAGACAAAGATAGTTCACATGATCACCACACTTCTCTTTACACACGGTCCTATTTCTACATCATTCAAGGAGAGAACAAGAAAGGCAGATCATGGTAACATTACCAGCGATTCATCGGTCTTGTCAAAACTGATGTCTGATAAAATTGAACCAGATTCATCTATTGTAGATAATCTAAATACAAGAAGAAGAAGAAATGTAAAAATCACACATATGCATGTAACATTCTTCCAGATAACACCCTTGTCAAGGCCTTATGATTACTAGCTCAATTACTTAGTATTTGAAGGCAGGCAGACTCTGAAAGAAGTCTAGCTCGGCACATTCCTAATTATATGTAATCAATACATATGCAACTTCGCTACACAAACACAGGTAAAGGGTAAAGGACCCCCTGGACAGTTAAGTCCAGGCAAAGGTGACTATGGGGTTGTGGCGCTCATCTCGCTTTTCAGGCTGAGGGAGCTGGTGTTTGTCCACAGACAGCTTTCCAAGTCATGTGGCCATCATGACTAAACCACTTCTTGTGCAACGGGACATTGTGATGGAAGCCAGAGCACACAGAAACGCCGTTTACCTTCCTGCCATATCAGTACCTATTTATTTACTTGCACTGGCATGCTTTCGAACTGCTAGGTTGGCAGGAGCTGGGACAGAGCAACGGGAGCTCACCCCATTGCGTGGTTTTGAATCACCGATCTTCCGATCAGCAAGCCCAAGAGGCTCAGTGGTTTAGACCACAACGCCACCTGCATCCCTATATAATACAAACATAGGGTATAATATCTGGTATATAAGAAATTAGTATACTAAAGAGTTGCACATTTTTTTATATAATATAAACAGCTAGAGTTAAGCACATCTAAATCTCATTGGTTCAATGGAGAAAGTTAAGCTTGTCTCTTAATACTCTCCTGTACAATCAGTGGGGCTTAGAAGTGCTTAACAGCACAGGGGTCTCTAATTGCCATATCCTTTCTTCCCCTCCAGTCCCGTAATCTTTGCGAAAGAATAAAAAAAAAAAAGCAACAGGCTCCTGAAAGGAGATTGCAATAGTAAGAGGAATGTGGTTATTGGTATAATCCATTCTATTTGAAGAATTTGGATTCTTTTAGCATGCAGAGCTATGCAACCCATGCTCATACATGAAACTGATGCATCTGGTGCATAATTTTCAATTCTGAGAATGCCAGCTTACAGTTAAAAAAGGAAAAGAAAATATGATTCTAATTCGCCCACCCTTATAAATCAGAGATAAATTCTCTTAGCAACTTGTGGATCTCTACTGAAAGTTCAGAAATTAAACCAGAGCTTTGGAATGGTTATATTGATGTTCTACATGGCTGCCAATTATTGGTATTACTCATTCCCTTGCCCGTTTTTCCATGCTTATGCCTTTCCCTCTCCACCATTCTGCTTCGTTTATGAGCCCTATCACTCCAACCCTTGACCAGAAGAACAAGTTATTTAAAAACCTGTATCTTCAAGGCATCATTTGCTCTGGTCAGAAATGTGTCTTTATCTGCTGCAGAAGACTAATAATAACGGTGGCATCTATCAAAGAATGCACATAGTGCATAAGTTTATAAACACAGGTAAGTAGGGAAGCTTAATACAAGTAGTATCGACATTCAGGATTTTTTCTAATCTAGACTATCGTTTGAGTCTGCGTAATGAGGACTGTTCAAATTACATTACATTATTTGATCATTCTATAATTAAGGTAAGTATGTCTGATGTCTTCTACCTTTTCCTATATAGTCCTTTTCTGTTTAGACATGAGAGCCTAATTGGCTGCATCTCAACATTCTCAGCAAAATCATACAACTTTAATATATAAATATTGGTTCAAGTACTGTTATAAATCAGAGTCTTCCTCTGCAATTCCTTGCAGTTCTGAAGTATTAAATTTCATTTACTGATGCACAGAGCAGAAATATATGCTTAATAGTACCAAAAAGAAATAAGAACCCTTTCAATATCTACTGGATTCGGATAAATAACCTTTGCCAGACAAGAAATATGACTGTTTAGAACTAGGTCAGTTGCTGAAAGAAGTATTGCTGAACTGTCCCTACCTTTAGGTTAATTACTTATGTAGAGACAGAATTATTGACATTCAGCTTAACATTGCTACATCACAGAAAAAACCTTTAAACAAGAAGTAGGATTATAGCTACAACCTGAAACAATACTACACGCGCCCCACCCCCATATTCTCTGCCAAGAAACAGTGTTTCCTGGAACAATTTGCAGAGCCCTGGTATTCTAAAGAGTAGCTTCTAAGCCAAGGATGGGGAAACACTTTAAGTTCAAGGGCTGAATTCCTTTTTCGGCAACCTACCGAGGGCCACATGTCAGTGGTAGCCGAGACAAGAGGCAAAAGTGGATGAAACAACAGGTGTGGTTCTTACCTTTTCAGAGACTTCTATACAGATGTTTTAGATGCAATTAAGTTAGGATTTGGCTTTAGACTTGTTTAGACAGAAGATGGTCATTTTAAGATAACATCTGTTTAGCCCTCCTAACACAATTTGTGAGTGCACTGAACAAATTGTGTTAGGACTAAACAAGGGAGGTCTTAAAATTATTTTCTTCTGTGTGAACAAGTCTAAGGCCAAATCCTAACTCCCAGCTGGCAGCCAGAGCCACACTCCCAGTTGCACTGCCCACAAAGGCCACGGCAAAAGGAATGGCTCTTTACTGTGCCTACTCCCAGGCCGGCACAATGAGGCTTGGACGAGGGCCACTACTGCCATGTGACGGCAGCAGGGTCTACGCAGGATCAAGCAATTCCTGTGCCAGCACTGCCACTACTGGGATTTCCTCTGCCTGCTGTTGGAAGAGATGGTGGCCTCCAACCAATGTTTGGGTGGGCACCCATTGAGTTGCTCTATTTTTCCTGCTAACAGTGGAGCTCCCGTGGGGCTTGCAGAGAAACACTTCCACTCCATCCAAGTTCCCTTGAGGGGTCGAGGGTTTGGATTGTTCTGTACATTTTCTGGCCCCATACAAGGTTTCCAGGGGTCTGGAAAACATGTTCCTAGCCCCAGCGAAATAAAATCAGGTTGTCACATCTACCTTCTTTACAACCCAGCCCACCAAAGGGGCACCCTCCAGCAAAGGTAATATCTCAGCAGCTGACCTTTTATTCCCTCCCATAGAAGTATGAGGCTTGTTTAGGAAGGCCAGTGCTGATTTCTGTTCTTCACTCAGCTGAATACTCCCCGATGAATCACACATAAGCAGCTCTTTGATCAGCTGGATCTGTCGCTCCTGCAAGTTAGGAAACATCAAAAATAGTCTTGCTTTGCATTTACATGACAGTCCATAATACACAAAGCCTCATGAAGAAGGCTGCTACACTACCAACATATTAATATCTATAAAGAGATCTGCACCTGTCTCTCAAATCAGCTTAGTTTAAAGCAGCAGCACAAAGATTTAGCTAGATCAAATTGCTACCCAGTGTAAAAAGATAAGGTACTCCAAATAGATTTCTTTGAGCCATAAAGCAATTCGCCCAATTCTATTTGCAAATAACAATAGTTTCTACCATATTGAGCTTCTTTTTGCAAGCAGAGGAAGGGACTTCTGCAAGAGGCCAAGAATGAACAATTCTCATCTGCCAAGGGATGGAGTAAATAATCTTTTTCATAATAATAATAATAAATTATTTTATTACTGTTTTGGGGGGACAGGAGGCGGGCAGGTGTGGAGCACTCCTGAATGGGGTAACTGTGCCCCTGAAGGACCAGGTGCGCAGCCTGGGAGTCATTTTGGACTCACAGCTGTCCATAGAGGTCAATTCTGTGTCCAGGGCAGCTGTTTACCAGCTCCATCTGGTACGGAGGCTGAGACCCTACCTGCCCATGGACTGTCTCACCAGAGTGGTGCATGCTCTAGTTATCTCTTGCTGGGACTACTGCAATGTGCTCTATGTGGGGCTACCTTTGAAGGTGACCTGGAAACTACAACTAATCCAGAATGCGGCAGCTAGACTGGTGACTGGGAGTAGCCGCCGAGACCACATAACACCAGTCTTGAAAGGCCTACACTGGCTCCTAGTACGTTTCCATACGCCCTCCCACCAGATGTCAAAGAGAAAAACAACTACCATATTTTAGAAGACATCTGAAGGCAGCCCTGTTTAGGGAGGTTTTTAATGTTTAACAGACTATTGTATTTTAACATTTTGTTGGAAGCCGCCCTGAGTGGCTGGGGAAACCTAGCCAAATGGGCGGGGTAATAATAATAACAACAACAACAACAATCTCCCCAGTGGTTTCCCAAGCCACTCTGGGCAGCTTCCAACAAAATATTACAAATACATTAAAATATCAGTCATTAAAAACTTCCCAAACAGGGCTGCCTTTAGATTTCTTCTAAAAGTCTGGTAGTTGTTTTTCTCTTTGACATCTGGTGGGTGTTCCACAGGGCAGGTGCCACTACTGAGAAGGCCCCCTGCCTGGTTCCTTGTAACTTGGCTTCTCACAGCGAGGGAACCGCCAGAAGGCCCTCGGCACTGGACCTTAGTGTCCTGGTAGAACGATGGGGGTGGAGACGCTCCTTCAGGTATACTGGGCCAAGGCCGTTTAGGGCTTCAAAAGTCAGCAATAACACTTTGAATTGTGCTCGGAAACATACTGGGAGCCAATGTATGTCTTTCAAGACTGTGTTATGTGGTCTTGGCGGCCACTCCCAGTCACCAGTCTAGCTGCCACATTCTGGATTTGTAGTTTCTGGGTCACCTTCAAAGGTAGCCCCATGTAGAGCAGTAGTCCAAGCGGGAGATAACCAGAGCATGCACCACTCTTGCGAGACAGTCCTAAACTCACCATGATGGATTTAACAGAAGGTTAAAAAACTGCTGACTTGGGTTAGAAGGCTGATAAAAAGATTTGCATGTAGCCTTTATAATGCAGCCCTGTGTAAATGAAGGACAACAATAAGGCAGCTAAGAACAGGGCCCTCTCTTCCCCCTTTCTAGAGTTGTAGTATTGGATGATGCCTCTGTCACAGTGCATGCATTCTCCAGCAGTAAACCAAGCAGGCAAATCCAGCTACTCTAGGCTGGGGCAAACTCTTTCTCACTTCCCACTCTGTAGATGTCCTCCACACAAGACAGTAAAGATAAGTGAGGAACCAGTGGCTTGTTCCCTCTTCCCAAACTTCAAGAGCTCGTGCCCTCTGAGCCCTGGAGTACCTAAAATGCTCAAGTACTTAGGTAGCACTAGAATTCATGGGGAATTGGCTTCTTCCTTCCTGCCTGAGCCATGTGCAGGCTTGGCTAAATTTTGCCTAATACAAGACAGTGTTTAGCCAAGTGCACAGAGGACTGAAAACATGGAGTGACAGGGAGTTGCAAGTGACCACATCCAAGTAATGACTCGCCTGTCTGCCCTATCATATGTTTGCTGTTGCTGTCTAGTTTTACAAGCCCCAATCCAAAGACCGTATGGATGAGAGCCCATCCACAAGTGACACTCAAGTTTCAGTACCACCTACGTAGGCTCACTTGACCATAGTGAAGCTGGCAAGTGGCTTGTTTTCTTGAAATTAGTCACATTTCAGCTGCCATAGTAGTCCACTCTTTACAGGCTGAGCACTGTATCACAATATGGCATATACAATGGGAAGTTGCATCATTTGTCATCTGTAATATTTGGAGTTCTAACAAATAGCAACCTGTAGTACCCAAGCCACCCCATCCCTCCAAACTGAATGACAAGCAGAGAACACAATCGTATTTTCACAAGCTGTGTTGGCATGCTGGAAAAAACCTGCAATATCCTGGAAGCAGAAGCACTTCCTTGGAACAAGCTATCACAGAGGTGACCAGCAACTGGGCATTTGTTGCACTATACACCGTGACTAGAAAACCCCTATGCTTTTCTCCCGGAAATAAATTCATGTTCAGTGGAAGTATGTATCTGAACACTGTGCTTGGAACACATAAAAAGGGAGGGCTGCTGTCTTCTTTATGTACTGATAGTTTTTTCAGAGGTAATCCGTCAGTCACTATTGAAAACAGGATGCTGGACTAGATGACCCCCCAGTCAAGGCTTTTATGTTTTGTTCGATGGTTACAATCCTAATCTTGCTCACCTGGGGGGAAGCCCCACTGAATTCCATAGGACTTACTTCTAAGTAGACTTGGATAGGATTGCACTCTAAGCCTGTCACTCTACTTCATTAAGACTAAATGAGGAAATGTTATATGCACCAGTTTTTCACATTCGGCTTCAGCTCGCTGTCTTCGCTTAATCTCCACATCCACTTGATTTCGGGCGTGTTTCAGCTTCACATCCAGGGCACTACGTTCAGTTTCTGTTTTCATCAGCAGATCTTTGTACCTGGCCAACTCAAGATCCATTTTCTGCCACTTTCTTCTGTGCTCTTCAAAGTTCTTGGCCAGCTGGATAAACTCTGTGAAGGGCATACACATTGGAATTCATTTATAAAGGACTATTTTCTTGCATTTCCTCAAATATCCCTGCAACAGAAGTCTAATCATTTCTATTTTACAATACAGAGGTGCTGGTATTATTCGGAACAGAGAGACTGTAGGCACAGGATCTCACAACTTACACACACTGAGACTTCCTTTTGAATAAACATCCAAATTATGGTGCCACAAGAGTTATAATCACAAATCAAGCCAGTTTCCCCCTTTATCAAGATAAAAAGATTTATATTGGGCTACTCAGTCAGATAACTTGTTAAGAACAACTGAAGACATAGTGTCTTAGAAGATACACGTGGCTAAGGCAACTTAAATAAATATATGAACTTGCGGACGGTTGTCATACCCAAGGATAGAACTGCAGCTATAATTAACTTGAGAACAGATTATTTTATGGTCACAGATTAGCACACCAGAAAGACGTTCAAAAGCAAAATTTAAATGTAACTGCTGTAATATGCTTCAGTAGATGTAGATTGGTATTATAGATGTCTGGGCCAGAAACTCTATTCAGCTAGATAATTATACAAATATTGATTTAAAAGGAAAAAGCCAATTTCCTTTAGCTGCTTAACACTGCCCTAAGGGGAATATAAACGTTCCATCCTGCAAAGCTACAATCTTCTATAGAAGACTGGACAAACCTGCCTCCAGCCAATGCCCCCTCCACCACTATTATTTACGGATGTCATTGCTCTGTGACACAGCACTAGACTTCCCTTGGGCTCTTTGAGACCTGCAATAGTACATGGCAATGTAACATCACATCCCTAAGACAACAGATAAAATAAGGTAACTACTGGAACTGTAATGTTTTAACCACATGTTCTGCCTGGTTGCCTAGAAACCACATTCTACAAAACCCACTAGCTGGTATGCAGATCAGTTTTCTACAGAAGCAAGGCATTATCCCAATCATCAAGCTTCCAGTGTAATTTAACATATTAACTGGCTGCTCTAAGAAATTTAAAAAATCTCACTCCAACCAAGTCATCTAAGAGACTCCTTGAATAACAGGGCAGGAAAAAGCCTACGAATAGGTTATAGATTTCTGCACTTACACAACATCTACAAAGATGACAACTTACGTAATTCATTGCCTTCACTTAGGATTTCTGCTTGGCGTATCAGTTGGTCAAATATATTCCGTAAATTCAGCATTGGGGTCTCCATCTTTGTGCCTAGAAACTGAAATAATTCAGAAATTGGTTTGTTATTCCCTTTTCTTCTATCAGACATAGCAATTCTTACCAGAAAGGTTAAGTTTGCAATTTAAGAATCAACACATTATAGATGCTGTCTTTTGCTGAAAGTCATCAACATCCCTTCTCATCTGCAACCTCAATGTGAGACACCATGCAGCACTGTTTTATTAACACAATGAATAAAGTGCTTTACAAAACTTTATAGGCACAAAATAGCTCCTGGAGCACAATGTATTTACACTGTAGAACAGACAATAAGGAAGGCACAAAGATGCAAATACTTTCAGACCCTCTGAATGTCCCTATTTTCCAGGGATAAAACCAGATTTATTGAAGCCACCCCAGTTTCTGATTTAATCCCAGGAAGTCCAGCTTTTCCTTAGGATGTGTCAATTTTATTCAGAGAAATGTTGGAGATTCTGTACTTTGATTGTGTTAGTTGGAAATTAATAGTATAATTCAAGGTTGGGCTAAATGGGGTCTGCATGTACAAAGTGAGGTCCACTCAAGAAACATGCCTCCCTCCGACAATGCCCCCCAAACTTGCTCTTTGGATTCCCCCAACCCTCTGCAGCAGATTTAGGGGAGGGGATGTTCCATTGCACAAGCAGACCTCATTCTGTGTACTCAACAATTTAGCTGAATATCGCTCTTTGTTTAATAACCAAGTCAAAGGCATCAAGAAAATGTAAGTTTAGAGGAAGGATCTAAAGGAAGAGAACTCGGGTTTGGTCACAGTTTTTAAAAATTAAGTATCACTGGTTTAAAGTGGAACACAAATACAAACATTTAAGGAAGTTTAACTTTCAATGGGCCATATCCAGCACTGCAGCTCTGCTGGCACTACAGGCTTCCATGCATGCAAGGAATTTCACAATCAGCTCCAGGGGGTTGAGGTACCCCCTGGAGCAGATTTGGGGGTGCTTGCAGGGTGAAGAGATAAAATGAAAGTCCCATTACACCAGCGGAACCCCAACCTAATATCTTATAACTGAATTCACGACACTCTAAGAGTCACATTAAAAACAGCCTTTAATTTAACATTGGAGATAATATCCGAAATTACCGTATTTTTCTGTATATAAAACTAGGGTTGTTGTTTTTTACTAAAAAAATGTTTTAAAAGTCTTATACATGAGGGCAATCTCCCCCCATTTTCTTAATTTTGAGTCCCCAAAAATAGGGGGCATCTTATACATGGAAAAATACGGTAAATAAAGCATGACAACAAATTATGTGTGTTAATCTTATGGAAAGCTACAAATATATATTACTTTTACAAATCTACACAGTATAGAAAATGTGCTTTACCACACGATCCTGGCCTTAATCTTTAAATAGCTGATTGGCATGAGTCCAGAGGAAGCTAAACAGAAATCCACTGCTAAGAGAAATGGGATAATTGTGAAAGCAGCTGAGTCTATATGCAAAATGCATTTTTGCTGCGTATCCATATTTTTCCATGTATATTCCTAGCTAGTATTAAATGACTGCTTAGCTGAAGTGCAATGTTTTCACTGTCCAAACAACTAGTTAACAAAAGTGCTTGTTCAGAAAATATATGAATTACAAAATAGAAAATCTGACTTAAATTAATAATTTAAACTGGATGCTTCGAAATTCACAATGGGCTGGAATACAAATCAGGATATTTCTGTCAAAACCATCTGGAGGATTAGAAATGTTTCAAGTGAAGCCTAAAATTAGTGCAATGTTTAACAAATATAAAAAGTGTATTTTGGTGAGATCTCTGAAGAGGCTTGGGGTGAAAAAATTATTTTTGCAAGCTACTGTTCCTGTTTCAAGTTGCTTTTAAAATCCATGACATGGTCAGCTCATTTTTCAAGCAGCAGAGCCTGTGACATCATAGCAGTGATTAAAGGAGAAATTGCTAGTTCAGCAGTGCGGAAATTGCTTCTTCAATCCATGTAGCTGCTGGAAATGTGTATGGGAACTATGGCTAATAAATTATCACCAAGTAGAGGCCAACACATGCATTGTACCATACTGCTGGCATCTGCTGCAGACAAAACACCACCTTCACAGCAAGAAGGCCACAGAAAAATGTTTTAAGTGCAAATTACAAAAAGCATCCTGACTGAGCAAGCATGCTACAGTAGCTGTTCAGCTTGTAAGATTTTAGATGTTCTAAAAGGCTGAATGGAATGAGGTTTCTATAGAAATTTCTAGCCATGCCCCTGCCCCCACACTTTCACTCCCCACATGCTTCAAGCAATACTCTTAAAAGCAGAGTTAAAAACTCAGATATATAAGCTGGGTGCCAGATGAAACCTTAAATCTAGGTTACATTCGCCTCAACAAAATATCTATTCGCCAGGGGGTCAGATTAGATGACCCTTGAGGGCCAGATCCAATGCTACAATTCTACGATCTCAACTACATTGCTTGACTGTAGCTTGCTCTTACAACAACTCACTTGTCCCTGTATGCAAGAAGAAACACGCACAGGGGAAAAGGTATTACACTGGTACCTCGGGTTAAGAACTTAATTTGTTCCGGAGATCTGTTCCTAACCTGAAACTGTTCTTAACCTGAGGTACCATTTTAGCTAATGGGGCTTCCCGCTGCCGCCGCACGATTTCTGTTTTCATCCTGAAGCAAAGTTCTTAACCCGAGGTACTATTTCTGGGTTAGCGGAGTCTGTAACTTGAAGCGTCTGTAACTCGAGGTACCACTGTAATTATGAACTATGACAGAGGTTTTAAAATTGTGGTCGCCAACCTGGCACTCAGAAATCTCCACGTAGTCACAATTGGACCTATGCCAGTAGCAAAACGCACCTGGCTAATTTCTAACACTGCTTAAAAGAAAACCATTGAATTTACAGTACAGTGGTAACTCGGTTTACGAACAGTCTGGTTTAAGAATGATTTGGTTTACGAACTCCGCAAAACTGGAAGTAGTGTTTGCGAACTTTACCCAGGTCTAAGAATGGAATCCGAACGGTGGAAGGGCACTGGTGGTGGGAGGCCTCATTAGGGAAAGCATGTTTCGGTTTAAGACTTCTGGAACGGATTATGTTCGTAAACCGAGATACCACTGTATATACTGTAGACTGTTAGACTGCAGAACAAGTTGTGATTTCTGACAGCTCCAGAGTTCAATAAATAAGCCAGTGCAGTGGGTGTTAGACTAGAATTGAGGAGATCCAGATCTCAGCTATGAAGCTAACTAGCTGAACTTGGGTCAGTCACTGCGCTAGGTTCAGACATAATCAGGACGGATAAAAATCAATGATTAAATGTGTATATATATATATTTTAAAAAATCAGATTTTTAAAAAAATTAAATCGGATTTTTTTTAAAAAAATGCTTTTGGAGGAAAAATCTTTCTAAAGATAATTTTCTATTTAAGTTACATTCTAGCCAAAGGCTATTCATCAGGAAATAAGGATTTGTTTTAAGTTTTTATGTGTGCTAAAACTCAGTCTATGGTGTGTTTTTTATTTAAAAAATCATTTAACCACGTTAGTTAACAAACTTGGATCCATATGCTATAATGTTATTGTTTTAGTGAAATAAATTGTTTAAATTTTTATTAAGAAAATGGTTATTTTTCTCCTTCCAATAAAGTATAGCAGAAAAGTTGTCCAATTATAAACAGTTAACTTATTAAACCTCACAATAATTTTATAATTATCTGTCTATGTATTTCAAATAGTATAACCAAATCAGTAATTTTTGATATAACTGTAAAAATTTATTATTCCAAAAATGAAACCTTCCTCCGGTTGTCAATATTAAGAGGATGCCAGCAAGGTTGAACCTTTCTGTAAAAAAGGGATTTAAATCAAGTCTTACTGACTACTGATTTAAATTGATTTGATTTAAATCAAATCCACCCTGGACATAATGTCACATCGCAGTTTACTGTTACAAAAACGAGCCTAGTATCCCTCTGGGTTTACATGCTCTCTCTCTGACAGAGCCACAAGAAATGCCAAAGCTTTTGCTTCCATTATTTATTAACCACAACTTGCTGCATCACCCAAACCTAGACAATCTGTACTTAATCTTAACTAGGGTTTGTTGAAACAAGCCAATTTCAGACTACTCTACTACTTAACACGTTACATTAACTTCTCTGCATGATGGTCAGAATCAACAGCCACACCTAACCAAAGAGCTTCTGTTTCAACTTAATAAAAGTAAAACTTCAAGCTACAAACTTGGGATATTTAGCACTAGCAACTGGAATCTTTTACTGCGTGGAGACTGGGGTGATGTGCAACAACATAATACTACAGGTACAGTGGTACCTCTGGATGCGAACGGGATCCGTTCCGGAGTCCCGTTTGCATTCTGAGTAGAACGCAACTCGCGTCAGCGCCTCTCGCAATTTGCCGCTTCTGCGCATGACATCATTTTGAGTGTCTGCAGCGAAACCCATAAGTAATGCGTTCCATTACTTCTGGGTCGCCGCGGAGCGCAACCTGAAAACGTTCAACGTGAAGCAACTTTAACCCGAGGTATGACTGTACTGGTTCATGTATCACTTATTTCTCAATGTAGCTGCAGCCACCCCACATGGAGTATTTTAGCACATATGAACCAGGCCCAAGAACCTTTCAACTGTTACAATGGGGAAAAGTTTAAGTCTGTTATTCAAAATCACATGTAACAGATTCCACTTCAGCCTCTTGAACCATCAGAAAAGGCTAGCCTCTCTAGTAGGCTGCATACAGGAATGCCAACTATTTTATCAAGAGTCTAAATATTGGTATCTTAGCAATTTATGCCAGCAGCTGAAATATAAATTATGGAAAGCACAAAAAGGAAAGTAGAAACAGCCCTGTTTTCATCTCTGCAGGAAGAACAGGTTTTTGAAAGAATGTTGCCTCTCTGCCCCACTCAAACAAAATGCCACAATTATTTTTTTCCATTATAGATGAATGCTTCCAAGTCTCTAATCACATACCACATAGCCAGTGCTATGCAATAAGAAAAACTCTCAGACTTACAGTTGATGCCTATACATTACCCTTCTATATACCTCACCATTAGGAAATAAATTGTAAGATCTGCCCAAGGATTAGATGGGGGTTTTAAGGTGTCTCGAGAACTTAATTCTGGGGTCACCTTGAGGGCAAAACCCAAGTAATTCCAACCTTGCTTGCTGCACAGTTCAGCAAGAGGTGGAAAGGTGGCTATCTTCCCCACACCCCAACCCTCGAAAAATACATAGAACTGATGCAAGTTGGAGAAGCAGTGTTCCTTCTCATTTCATTTCAGCTCTTTGTGCTTTTGAGACTCAGTTTAGCAGCTAAGTAGCTGAACAGAAAACTGAATGACTAAGAAGGAAGAAGAGTAAGGGGTGTGATTTGGAAGACTGGAAGGATGAACATGGAATGACCAGGTAGATTGAAGAAAGGGGGATGTCACAGGAATCAGAGAGCAGAGAGGGCACATCCCAGGGTTCGAAATTAGCAGGGCTCTAGGCGCATTTTGTGCCTAAAGATTCTCCATTTGCAAGCACCTCAAGAGGTCTGGGTGCCATTTTCTGCACCTGGTTGACACTCAAGGATTACAGAAATGTATGTGCTTAGAAGCTTTGAAGTATATGTTAAGGAAGGACAATACGTTAAGGAGTTTAACAATAAAGAGTAGAGGAGAGCTTTCCAAACTGTGTGTCGCAATACGTTAATGTGTCGGCGTGTCGCACAAATGCTCCCCAAGGGGCTGGAAAGGGGTTAGTTTAGCCTCCGGTTTGCTAGTAAAACTGAATCAGTGTCACAAAGTGTTGCATGTCTAAAAAGTGTCACCAACATGAAATGTTTAGAAAGTTCTGGAGTACAGTGTTTTGAAAATGAAGTTTGGTACCAATATTTTTTATTATAAACACCAAATTAAACATGTATTAACAATTTCTGTTAACAATGCGATGTTAACAATGTGTCATGTGAATTGCGTATTAGTTCATGCTTTTCAAAATAATAAATAAAAAGTGTTGCCGACCCCTCCCCCCCGCAGTGGCAAGTAGACCTTCTGTTTTGGCACCCACAATTCAGGTCCCAGAAGCCACTTGTCTCCTAGTTTACCCCTCTCAGAGCTACAATTCTGAGCACCCTTAACAAACTACACTTCACATGATGCAAATTCAAGCATATTTATTCTAATTCTGCTGAAAACTGACTTTTACCCAGATCCCTTGGATGGGTGCTTTCTGCCTCACTCCCTTTATTTGGTCTTTCCAAGACAGAAGGGGAGATTGATCCAGGAGAGGGGCAAAAAGAAACAACTAGCATGAGTATGTGATCATGGGCCAAACAGGTTGGCAATCTCTATGCCCATGTCACATTTTTTTCCCTGGAAGAAATTGCCTGTTGTCTTTTTATCACCTTATTCCTTTCCCTCTTCCATTTCTGACACTCCAGACAAAATTACCACCATTAATGGCTCTCCAAATCTGCAGGCTGAAGTAACCCTGCACTCCTTATATCATTGTAAGTCTGACTATGGTGGATGTAATGCTGATAAAGAACTACTCAAAACGCCAGACCCAGAAAATCCAGATATGACCTTCTCTCTCCCAGCTATAAATCTGGACCAATGAGAGAAATGCATTTGTACAGCTGGCTGAAGCTTTCAGTATTACAGCATGCAAACAGGAACAAAAATGTGATTATTGTGTCAAGTGAGAAATTAGTTGTATGAAAGCCCAGAGTAAAGGCAATAGCTAAAGATATTCATTTAAATGGGCACTGATGACTACAAGAGGTTTGCTCAAATGAGCATTTGTGGTATTTGATGGCTACTAGCTTGGATGAGGACTGGTGTGGAAATAGCAGGAATGTAAACAAAATTCTTGCAATAAGCCCTGCTGACAAGGAGCCATAGCTGTTGCCTTGGGGTAAATGCAAGCTGCTTTAACAATCAAAACTTGCCAGTATCTACTTGTATATTTTAATACAAGTAGATACTGCAGAAAGTGCCATGTCTGAATATTCTGCAAAAGGCTACTACTTGCGCTTGGGGAAGCACAAAACAATTCTTTTCCCCTGCCCCAAATACTTACGTTAAAATATTACCCATTATTACCAACAACACAATCATATACCTGTCTATTCAGAAGTAAGATTTGCTGAACTCATGGGTCTAACTCCTAAGTAAATACATACTGGATAGCAGCAAAGTAGTACTGTCATTTTCAATCCAATTATAGTCACTATTTCATCCACATAGGAAACACTGTGGGCCTATAGTCTTATTTCCTTTTTAAAATTATTACTACAATGAAGGAAGAAACCTATTTTAAATACCGCAAATTTAGAAAAACCAGGGCTAAAAACTTTTGCAGAGAAATGAGAATGGAAAGGCATTTTTGACAGGCACCATACGTATGTGTTAGCCAAGGTTACTCAACAGAACGTCTTTCTTCTGCAAATCCATGAAAGCTTTGTAAATGCCATGTTTTCAGAAAGGTCACAGATAAGGCACAAGAAAAAGCAGCAAATCATAGGTGTTCTTCTTACCGTGGGTCAAAGCTAGCTGCTCAGTCTTGTACAGGATTAGTTATAGGCAATTCCCATATGTTGAGTGGCTGACTCCATTTCAACCTCTTCCAAGTCACAGGCATCTTCAGGAATGCCCAGATTCAGAAATTCTACAGCTCAGTGAGGTCACATAGACCAATGAGTTTAAATTAGAATTTGGTCATAAACAGACAACAATCTGAGCTCTGCAGAAATAAGGGAGAAAATCTCTTAACACCCCCTAAACTGGGGGGGGGGGCGCACTAAGATAACCCAGTGGAAGCTAAGCATACTCAGTGGCCATGGAATCCTGAAAGACCATTGGTGGGGTAGGGGTGGAGACAGGTGGGAGGGGGAACACCGTAGAGTACTGCGAAGGAGAGTATTCTGAATTTTAGGTTGTAAACCACCCTAGGACCCGCTGCTGAAGAGTGGTTCAATTTAATAATAACAATAACAGAATTTTAGTTGGTAAACCACATCAGGTTTTTTTAATACGAAACTGCCTATAAATTATTTTAATTCATTAGCCAGTAGCCAAATGTTGTCAGTTGAGTATCAATAAGATCTATTCCAGACAGTAATATAGATACCCATATAGCAAAGAGATGCTGTATGGCAGGCATTACTACAGGGGACACAGTGCCTTGCCCCACCCCACCTGGGACCCCCATAAAGCAAAGATGCTGCTTAAGTATTTTTGCCTGCTCTTAACATGTTTGTAAGGAATGTTATTTGCCTTTTGGGCAGGAACATGGATGTGTTTGCTTTTTAACACTGTTGAAATGTTTTGAATTTGTACTATTTTATTGTTTGTATTTGCATTATTGTCTTTGTAGGTATCTTTTGGCTGAAAGGTGGCATATAAACAGCAACATAACAGTAACATTACAATGGCCAGTTTCAGATGCAACATAAGCAAATCAGCTTAATTGACCATGATCAGGAACCAAAGAACACACCTAAGTTCCCAAATGTGATATGTGTGGGGAAAACAGCCACAAGTGCTAGTTTGGATGCAAACGTTAAGCCAATACTTCATAGTTTGCTGCTCCTGGACTGGGGAGAAATTGCTCAAGCTGCTTTCACCAACAGGGAGCTCGTGCACAAACTAATAACACTAGCTATAAACCATACTTAAGCTTAAGTCTAAGCGTGGACACTGTCATAAAGTTTCACAATCATACAAGAGGCACCTATTAGAAGGCAGTATGATACCCGCGCTCCTCGATTCCTGCACCCTGGAGGCTCAGACAGCAGCATGAGAAGGCCTTAAAGAATGAATTTCCTAAGACACAGAAAAGAAGCAGGTGTTATCAGATTATTGAAGGAATAATTGCAAGCAGGACTGCTGTCCTCAGGGCAAGGACTTTAGCAAAAAGAGGAAGGGAAGGAGAAGTTCTTATCATGCAGGAACGAGATGCATTCCAGCCCATATTTGGCAAATTGACTAGCCTTGATCCTATCCCATTTCAACTTCTGGTTGTCACTGCCTTGTCATTATCCCTCCTCTCCACCATCTAATCAACTTATAATTCTCCACTGGCTCCTTCTGTACTGCATTCAAACATGCCACTATTTTCTGGGGGGAAAGAAAGAAACAACAAAAAAAGAGAGCTCAGCTGGATCAGGCCAAAGGACCAGCTAGAAATTGGTATTCCAAGCCATAATGTCTCTATTAGTGGAGGAAGAACATTGCCAGTGTAAGCTAGTAGCCACTGACAGACAGCCTTATGCTTCATGAATTTATCTAATCGTCTTTTAAAGTCATCCAACCTGGCAGCCATTAGTACATCTTGTGGTAAAGAATCCCTTGACCCATGTTGCCATCCCCAACCAGAACCTGGTTTCTCTTCTGTGCTTTCCTCAGAACTCCTGAAAGCGCACCACTTATTCCTGCTGACTCAGCCTTCCTACTCTTAACACACACATACAATCTGACTTCTGCCCTCACCAAAATGGCCAGTGATTATTCTGCTGCCAAATAAAATGATTCTACAGTACTTCTCTTTGTCCTAGAGTGCACTGCTACATTTTATATAGTTGATCTTTCTCAATAACCTTTATGCTCTTGGTTCTTGCAACTCTGTCCTGACCTTATTGCTCACTCAACCTTTTCACAGAGGGAAGTTCTTCCTCAGCTTTCCTCTACTCCACTGGGGTCCATCAGAAATTTTGTTCTCTGCCCTCAGCTATTCTTTCTATCAAGGTCATTTCTCCAAAGACAATTTTGCAAAAATCCGGCCCTCCACTGTCAGCAAAAAGTTTAATTCATGCACTTCCAGCTGTGGCTATAACAATCTCCTCTTTGAATGCCCATTCTCACTCTGGAACCAAATCCACCTCTCTCATTACTCAAGATTCACATGATGCCTCTCCTTACACTGACCTCCTGTTTACTCTTGTATCCAGCAAATACTCACTTGTCTATCTATACCTTTGATACGATAATCTTTATTGTCATTGTCCCATACAGGACAACAAAATTTAAAAAGATCTACATAAGACATTCAAAAACCTATGGGTGGCCTGCCCACGCTATCTTTCTGCTTTCAGGTCCTAAAACATACCTGCCTGTGATCTTTGCTCATCCATTGCCACACACTGAAGGTACTGAATGTGTTCTGTTTCCTATATGGATTCTGCCCTTTCTCCCTATCTGTTCCCAACGCCTGCAGATTCCTCCCATAATATCTTATTAATGTTTATTTTGTACATTTATTTCCTTTGTTTCATCATGGAACTCAAGATGGATAACACAGGGGTGTTCGTGTTTCCAAGAATCAACATAAACGTTATTTGCATCAGCCACCAGCCAATAAAATAAAATGTACAGAAGAGAAAGGTAAAAACTTAACTATATAAAATAAATTTGGGGGATTTAGATCAAGATGCGCAAGCTTTCAGGCGCTTTAGAAATCACCAAGCTAGAAACCTTCATCAAGCCTCGCCTCCCATCACCGTTCCTCAGAAGTGAATATATATATTTTTTTCAAAAACAAGCCTTTGGTAATACTTTCCGCGGCGGGAAGGTTTCATGGAGTGGGGGGCAGAATAAATAAAATAAATGAGTAAGTAAAATATATGACACAAGTACACTTGAAGGGAGAAATGTGGAAACTTCCACATTCTCGCCCCACAATAGCTAGTTATCTTCGTAACTACGCAGATTTTTTATTATTATTAATAGATAATAATAATAATAATAATAATAATATAATAATAATAATGCTATTTCAATTATTTACAGGACGCCCGCCCTGCTCTTTCCAACCACTTCACTCCTTTTCTGTCAGATGTTCGCTCCACGCCAAGCGTCCTCTAAGAGCCCCGAGGGCCTCGGACCAGAGAGACCCCCACAGACTCACCCACCCCCGTTACCTACCGGCGTCGGCGTGAGAGGAAATGCCCTTCTGCCGTCGCGGAACCGTTGTTCCCTCAGCCCGCAGAGACAGGCGCTCTCCAGTCACCCAACGGCTTCGCACGGCCGTTGGCAACCGCCTCCCAGTTTGAATCGCGCCAGCCTGACGCCTCTCCAGATCCCGATTGGCTGCGCCGTACTGGCACCGCGAAGCTGAGCGTGACGACACCGCGCGTTTGGCCTATCAGCCCGGAGCGGGACGCTCGCGGCGCCGTCTTTCTCAAGGGCAAGGGCTTCTTTCCTCCCGGCCCCGCCCCGCTCACCTCTATTAAGTGCCCACGCGGCCCAATTAGGTAGGCGGTGTTCTTGTGATAGCCGTCTCACCTCAGGCCAATTCCCACCTTCTGTAGTTCCTATTCCATTCATGCAGGACAAATCAAGCCCATGAGGCGGGAAAAGGGTAGGAGGTTAACATTAAAGGCAAGCGACAAGGAATCTCTTTCTTGTGGTTCGCATAGCACTGCTTTTATATTTGCTTCTAGTGGACATTTTTTAAATTCCTCATTGCTGAAAAGGCTGAGTTTTCTTTTCTAGACTGTATTAGAGGAGGGCAGGGACGACGACCAATTCCCCCCCACACACACACACACTCCTAAATTAAAAGAAAAATAGGGTTTCCCAGCTTGGACTCGTGTGCATTTAATAACTGCGGGGGGGGGGGGCGTGGATTAAGAATATATTATATATACACACACAGTGGTTTTTTCTGGGGGGATGCAGGGGTACACATGCCCCTAAACAGTTTGTGAATTTAACTGCCTCATTGAGGAGCAGTATTTCAATATGAGTAGGAAAATGAGAGTACCCCAAAATGTTTTTTAAGAAAAAAAAGCACTGTGTGTCTGTGTTTCAAAATCCACATTACCTTTAGAGGGCCAGCCAAAATGTCCCCAAATAGTGAGCAAGCTCCAGAACTCTTCACCATACTGGATGTTAATCAAAATGGGGCAGGGTGGTTTAATGTTGAAGCCGCATAAACCCGGTTCACAAGTAATGGTAAGCCAAACATTTACTGTGGACACGGCACTCCTGCTGCACTGCTGTGAGCTAAGCCATTATTATTATATTTATATACTGCCCTTCCTCTAAAGCAGGCATGTCCAACTCCCAAGAGACTGCGATCTACTCCCACTATAAAAAAACTGGCAGTGGTCTACCCATTGGATTGACCAAAGTTTTGGGGAGGAACAGTGGCGTAGGAAGGGGGGGCGGAGGGGGCGGGCCGCCCCGGGTGGCACTCTGTGAGGGGTGACAGGATGGCACCTGCCTCCCCCCCAGCTGTAGAGTGGCTGAGGGTGCCCGCAGTCTGTATGGGCACCACGCACGTGGTGTCCATACATGCATCCATACAGGCTGTCACTTGTACGGCAGTCTGTACAGTCGCTGTGCAAGCGGCAGCCTGTATGGCCGCCACGTGCAAGCGGCAGCCCATACAGACTGGGCATGTCCGGCATTCCGTTCAGACTGCGCCGCCCCGGGTGCCAGTATGGGTTCCTCCGCCACTGGGGAGGAAGACCCAAAGTAGTTGAGCTTTTTTTTGCTTCTTGCTTTTCTTTTAATCAACCCGGGACACCCCACAATTGACTGGTAGATCGCAATCTGCGGGTTGGACATGCCTGCTCTAAAGATCTCAGGGTGGTTCACAAGAAAATAATAATTTTGTTGATCAATGTGGGGTATAAAAAAATAAAAGATGCCCAATTGCCTAACAATTTGAGCAACTTATAGGGATGTGGAATTCTAGTGCAAACTAATAGAAAATAAACTATCCATATGTGGATTTTCATTTTCAAAAACAACCCATAATTGTTTTTTTAAAGCAAAATATAGCACATACAAACAAAGCACACATGGTTTGGGCTTAGCATGTCATCCGAACCTGGGCTCGTGGTTGTACCCAAGGTTTGGTCTTGGGTTTAGGGCTCACGATTTGTCCGGCAGAGACAATTCACAAGCCGGGGTTTGGATAACACACTTAGCCAGCAGCACAGCAACAGGACTGAGGAAGAGCTTCTCAGTGTGAGTTTAAAAAATGACCTATCCAAATAGTGAGATGGTTCTCATTACCCCTTTTGTTTCAATCTTCTCAACAGTGAGTCCTCATTTTGTGGCTACTCAGCACCTCATTGGGATGTGTTTGAGTTCCCACCCACCTGCAAGAGTTTTTGTACTTCTGGAACATGTGCAGAGGAGGGCAACCAAGATGATCAAGGGTCTGGAAACCAAGCCTTATGAGAAGCAGTTGAAGGAGCTGGGTATGTTTAGCCTGGAAGAAAGCAGACTGAGAGGAGATATTATTTTTATTAGTCCACAGTTCCATGATTTAAAAAGAAAGGAAAGAAAGAAAGATGTAAGTTCCTTATCAAGAAAAGAGTGGTTATGACAGCTTTTTCCCACTCCCTACTGCTCACAGTAATGAGCTAATCATAGTCCTAGAGCTCAGTAATGTTAGTGTCTGTAAAACTGCCTGCTTTAATTTTACCTTTTGTTCTACCCATCTGCTTTCATTCATTTCTTAATCCATTGAAATTTCAAAACGTTTTGCGTAGTTGAAACTGCAGCACACAGTGCCTCCTTACTACACACACGACCCCACGCAAACCTATGTATAGTCCCAAATTATTCCGGTTAAACATGTCTGGCATTCATTGCAGATATGCTCACAAAACACCAGGTGCATAAAAATAAATAAGGGGGATGTTAACGGCAATAATTGGTGTTTAATAAGCAATAGGAGTGGGAAAAGGCTTTGTAGTAGCGTAACTGGGGCAAAGATGGAATGAGTACATAGCTGTCAACTTACAGATTTGAAAATAAGGGACCAGCAGCCTTGAAAATAAGGGATCAGCAGCCAAAATAAGGGATTTTGCTATTGTAAAGAGTTACATACATTGGCAGGATTGACAGATGCTGTCAATCCGGCATGAGGCGGTTGCACCGCTGAAGCACCGCCCTTCTATGTCCCTCCCCATCCCCTCCTCTTCCTCCTCCCTCAGGCCACCTCCTCAGCTGTCACCATTGCTGCCGCCTCCGGGCTCGCGGGCAGCGTGGGCGAGAGTCTCGCTCCCTCCCCCCCCTCTCGGGTGGGGAATTCCTCGCGCCAGGATGACGGCGCCAGCGCGCGCCTTCTCTCGCAGCGGAGGACCCCGAGCCGCTGCTTCCCTCCTGAGCTGGGTGACCTGGGAAATTTAAGGGACATCATCAATAAGGGACAGCAGCGGGACACGGTGCTGGGATAAGGGAGTTTCCCGCCAAATAAGGGACAGCTGACAGCTATGAATGAGTATATACCCAAGATTTATAATGGGCACGCCCCCCCCCCGTGACACATGGATGGGGTCACATTGCCAATGACAAGCAGTACACTCCAACTGAGAAGAAAAGAGGGGCCTGAAATTTGCACCCAACCCTTGGGCCTTTTCTTACGAAGGTACTACACGGACAGGGTCAGGGATGCAAACATTCTTTGTCTCGTATAGGAATTATTACAATAATATTATATATGTAGTACAATAATATTATATTACATATGTTTTCAGAGTTGTAGGTAGAAGTCCAGACATAACGGTTGCTTAGGAAAACTTAGTGAGCGCAATAGGCCAAGTGGTTTTGGTAGGGGAAGGAGAGATTCAGAGGCAAATGGCATTGGTAAGCATTTTGTGATAGACCAACAGCACCCTGCAGGGGTTTTGTACCGTAGCCTCTGAGCTGAATTAAGGTTCTTCCAGATGGAGGTTTATTATGGAATTGGTGCTGCTCTTGCACACGTTTTTGCACCATCTGCAGGAGGCTGTCGTCATCAAAATGCGAGCCTCTGCTTTTTACATTAAATCCGGATTTTCTCTTACCCTGGAAAATCCATTAAGTGAACATAATCCTTTATGCATCTGCAGTGGAAACTTGTTAGCACTTTTATTTTATTTTTGGGGGTGAACAGTTTGCCATGTGTGTCATTTGTATGCACACGGTGCAATTTCAGGTGAGAGGAGCCATTCATTCAAAGCCTCAACACATGCAGAGTACATACTTTGGAACTTTATATGGGTCTTGTGCAAGTTCTCTGTATGATAATTTCAGTATCTTAAAAATATAAATCAGTATTGCAAAAGAACTCTGTATTAGTATTAAAAAGCAAATGGAAATGGATGTTGCCTCCCTCTCCCCCACCCCCAAAGCATAAGCCTCCATTGGACCTGTTGTGAAACTTTATAACTAAGGACAGCTAACATTTGCTGACCTTAAATATTATTATTATTATTATTATACTTTATGTAGGATTTTTTAAATGTTAAATGTGTATAAATACCTATGCATCTGCTCCAAGTAGGAAGAGGTTTTTTATTTTATACACACACACACACACACACACACACACACACACATATACTACCATCAGGGCATTTCAAAGAATAAAATACAAGCTAGAAACAAGTACTGTAAATAATTAAAACAAAACAGCAAAACAATGCCCCCCTTTCCACAGACACATTTAAAAAACGTACAATCTTAATACAGTGGTACCTCAGGTTACATACGCTTCAGGTTACATACACTTCAGGTTACATACACTTCAGGTTACAGACTCCGCTAACCCAGAAATAGTGCTTCAGGTTAAGAACTTTGCTTCAAGATGAGAACAGAAATCGTGCTCCAGCGGCGCGGCGGCAGCAGGAAGCCCCATTAGCTAAAGTGGTGCTTCAGGTTAAAAACAGTTTCAGGTTAAGTACGGACCTCCGGAACGAATTAAGTACTTAACCCGAGGTACCACTGTAAGCCCAAGGCCTGGTTGAAGAGGAACATTTTTGCTTGGCGCCTAAAAATACATAAAGAAGGCACCAGATGAACCTCCCTGGGGAGAGCACTCCACAAACGGGGAGCCACTACAGAAAAGGCCCATTTTCGTGTTGCCACCCTCCGGAGGAGACACACAGAGAAGGGCCTCAGAGGATGAATGCAGAGTTGGGGAAGGTTTATACAGGGAGAGCCAGTCCTTGAGTTATTGCGGTCCTGAGCCTTTTAAGGCATTATAGGTCAAAACCAACACTTTGAATTGGGCCCAGTAGCTAATTGGGTAGTAGAGGCTGGCGGAAGGTCTAGAACACACAGCACCGAAACATGTCACAAAGGACTGAGATATGGGTGAGAATCAGTGGTATAGCTATGAAAAACATTAGATTTAATCTGCATACACAGAAAAGTCAGATCCAGATGACACATTTGTGAGATAGCACCACCATCTGAAACAACCCTTACTACAGAACAATGAGAAATTCAAATTCTGCCGCAGTACCATTAAAGGAACACGAGCATTCTTGATCCACCCCAAAGTAGCAACTCATGCTTTGCATATGTATTTTACTTCCTTACCTATCACATGTGTATGATCAGGCACATGTAACAGGTAAACCAATGAGAAATTTGCCAATGAGAACCTAGAAATAACTCTGGCCCTGGAGCTGCGGGGCATTGGAACCATTTATTTTGCCCATTGTGTTCAAGGCTAATCATTGCTACTAGAAATTGGACCGTTAAAGCTTATTTCAGCAGTTGCTCTGGTTTCTTGCACGATGCTATAAGGAGAACACCCCAATAAGCATGTCACAAAACAGCAATATAAAAGAAAGCACCGTGGGTTTGCATTAAATCCAGAAAGCCATCTTGTTCCCGAATAGAAAAAAGCAAGGATTGAATAGATCCTAGTTCTATTTTAAGTTTCACTACTGGTGCGTTTGCCCTGTAGCCCTCATTGTAGAGCATCTCCAGGTCTGTGTCATGACGTCAGAGATGACAATTGATGGAGATTGGTGTCAAGGCCACTTTTCTCTATTGCATCTTTCTAGCCAAGTACAATCACTGAAGAGTGGGGGGGGGGGGGCGGGAATTGTATTGTGATAGCATGCCATCAATATTCCAGCTGCGCTCTTTGTCAGGCCTTCCAGGGTAAAAGATAGGATGAAGACTGAATGATGGAAAACAAGTTTCCACCATCCTTTCAATGTAGGGAGATTGCGGGGGGTGCTGAGCGGATAAAATACCGTATTTTTTGCTCTGTATGACACACTTTTTCCCTCCTAAAAAGTAAGGGGAAATGTTTGTGCGTCTTATGGAGCGAATGCAGGCTGTGCGGCTAAGCCAGAAGCCAGAACAGGGAGAGGGAGTGCTGCGCAGCGCTCCAGCTCGCTGTTCTAGCTTCGGGCTTAGCTGCGCAAACCCTCCGCAGGGCAGCGGGGTGTCTTCATCCCGCTGCCCTCCAGAGGCTTCGCGGGCTGTCCCAGAAGCCTCCGCAGGGCACGGGGATGAAGGCACAAAGCTAGACCAGCTAGAGGGAGCGCTGGGCAGCGCTCCCTCTAGCTATTCTGTCTTTTGGATAGCCCCTGCGAAGCCTCCATAGGGCAGCGAGATGAAGGCTCCCCGTTGTCCTGTGGTGGGAAGTGGGGGGAAGGGACAGAGCGCGTGACTCTGTTCCTTCCCCCACCTCCCAGAAAAGCCCCCAAGAGCCGCGCTCCCTTTAAAGAGTGTGTGGTTGTTGCAGGAGATGGGGGAAGGTACAGAGGGCAGTTTACCCGCGCGCAGCCTCTTCCGGGCAGGGGGAGCCTTCATCCCTCTTGCTGTTCTGGCTTCTGGGATTCAGATTTTTTTTTCTTGTTTCCTCCCCCCCAAAACTAGGTGCGTCTTATCGTCTGGTGCGTCCTATAGAGCGAAAAATACGGGTAGGCATTCTTCGCAACAAAGGATTTCCCCAGCTCCACTTTACCTACGTACTCCACAATCCTTGGGTTGTAAGTTTAGGATAGCCAAGTATCTGCTGTCCATATGAATGTGACCTTCCTGTTGCAACACGATGTTATCTGGATTGCACCACTATTTTTCTCCAGAGCCTTGAGATATGTTTCGCACTTTTTAACTAAGCTCATATATGCAAGTGTCTTACAGATCTCACAAGAAGCATAGCAGGAAAATAGAAACAGAGCAGTGAGCTTTGAGGGCAGGATTCTAAAATATATGCCGGCGCTTAACTTATGAGTTGGCAGAACAACACGGAGGTGGATTGTGGAGGGTGCTCAAGTGCTCTAGCACGTACAACCCACATGGAGATTGCATCCAGGAGTTAGCATAAAGGAAGACGCTTATTTACACGCCATACAGGGCTTGGGAGGAGGAGAAGTCACAGCATGAAGCAGGATGTATTTGAACAAGCAATGAAATGTGTTGTAGCAGTCAGTCCTCCATCAGCAGCAGCCTGAAATGTACAGTCTAGGTGTGAGTGCAAGATGTAAGGCTAAAGACATTGTGCAAAACCACAGTTACCTAGCTGGGGGTGCAGTGGGAATCTTAAACTAAGTTAATATTAATCTACAAAGATGAATGTACAAGACAGACAAGCCCCACTGCCAAATGAGGCCCCGGGGCTTGCTCAAACCTTTAATTATTTTTTTAAGGAAGTTTATTACTTTTAACCCCACCTTTCTACAGATTCCCAGCGAAACTAACAAAAAGTTACAATGCCAATAAAAATGAAATCTCGTAAGACTGACAAATACTGGCCTGCATATAATTACTCAAAACTGGCAATCACATGGGTCTTAAGACAGAAAGAAACTAAGAACTTGCTGGATGAGGCTAATGGTACATTTGACTGGCATTCCGTTCTCACAGAGACCAACCAGTGTTATGACTCATTTAGTTACAGTATAAGCTAAACAAGCTTACCGTATTTTTCGCTCTATAAGACGCACCAGACCACAAGACGCACCTAGTTTTTGGAGGAGGAAAACAAGAAAAAAAGTATTCTGAATCTCAGAAGCCAGAACAGCAAGAGGGATCGCTGCGCAGTGAAAGCAGCAATCCCTCTTGCTGTTCTGGCTTCTGGGATAGCTGCGCAGCCTGCATTCGCTCCATAAGACGCACACACATTTCCCCTTACTTTTTAGGAGGGAAATTGAGTCTTATAGAGCAAAAAATACGGTATATTAATTTAAAAAAATTAAAGGAAAAAAACTGGATGTACATTTCCAAAATATAAGATAAAAAACAAATAAAATAAAACCTACATACAGCAACAGTGTTTTGTGTTGTGTAGGCTCCTATGATGTAAGTAATGGGCCCCACCTGCTAGCCTGCTCCCTAAAATATCGCTGGTTTGCTCATTTCTATACAGTGGTGCCCCGCAAGACGAATGCCTCGCAAGACGAAAAACTCGCTAGACGAAAGAGTTTTCCGTTTTTTGAGTCGTTCTGCAAGACGAATTTCCCTATGGACTTGCTTCGCAAGACGAAACGTCTTGCGAGTTCTTGCGAGTTTGTTTCCTTTTTCTTAAAGCCGCTAAGCCGTTAATAGCCGCTAAGCCGCTAATAGCCATGCTTCGCAAGACGAAAAAACCGCAAGACAAAGAGACTCACGGAACGGATTAATTTTGTCTTGCGAGGCACCACTGTATATAGGGTGCCTACATTCTGCATGTGCATATGGCTTTAGATACCTATTAGGTCCATAAATTACCATATAGCATATATTCAACACAGAAAACAGGGACAATTTGTTGCTGACAAAGGACAGCTGGACATATAAAGGGCCCCATTCCCTTCAGTAGCTTAGGGCCTCATCAAACCTAAATCCGGCCCTGGCCAGGATAGCCCTTTCTTTAGCTCAGCTGATTTGAGTGTGGTGCTAATAATGCCAAGGTTGCAGTTTCGATCCCCGTATATAGGACAGCTGCATATTCCTGCATTTCAGGGGGTTGGACTAGATGATCCTTGGGGTCCCTTCCAACTATCGAATTCTATGTTTCTCTGCTTCTTATTAGCTGCCTGCAAGTGTTGTCCTCCAAGCCACCATCATCCTGTGAAGGAAGAGATCAAGGCACGCCTGATGACACCATCCTAGAGGGCCTGGACCTCCCGAACCACCCATATTTTGAGAGCTTGCTCTGTACTTACAGGCTGTGCCCCTACCCTATGATTTAGAACCCTGGATCGCACAGTTTTGAAAGATAGCAACTAGGGAGAACAGTGCTGAGCTAATGACCTAATTAAACAAACGAATGCGGCACAAAAATGGAAGCAAGAAAGAATTACCGACGAAAGAAGAATGGCAAATGAAATTAATGGACTATGCAGAATTAGATAAACTAACAGGAAGGATTCGAAACCTGCAGGCTCAGAGATTCTTAGAGGACTGGAGTAAATATTTGAACTATTTGAAAAGCAATTGTAATAAACAGATTGCGCTAGTAGGACTGCAAGGAGTTCTGTAAGGAGGATTTTGTGAAATATTGCAAGGAAGACTTTGAAAAGAATGATTAGTTAAGGGCAATTAAAAGGAATAGAGAAATTAAGAAATGTAGAACAAGTGATAAAGAACGGAAAATCAGAGGTTGTTGACGGAAGTCTAAAATATTGTATAAGATAAGAAGTTATGTTAAATGATTGTTGGAAGTGATATGTTAAAAAATCTATCTATCTATCTACAGTGGTACCTTGGGTTGCATATGCTTCAGGTTACATACACTTCAGGTTACAGACTCCGCTAACCCAGAAATATTACCTCAGGATAAGAACTTTGCTTCAGGATGAGAACAGAAATCGTGCAACGGCGGCACAGTGGCAGCAGGAGACCCCATTAGCTAAAGTGGTGCTTCAGGTTAAGAACAGTTTCAGGTTAAGAACAGACCTCCAGAACGAATTAAGTTCTTAACCCGAGGTACCACTGTATAACAAACAAATGCATCCATCTATGACTCAAAGTAACGATGGCCAATGCAGTTTAAATACGCCTTCCGATTGCCTAGGGCAGAAAGTGGGCAACTATTTCTCTATCATTGGACTGCTGTGTGAGTAATAAACGTATTTTAAAAGCCCCTGAAATCTACAGAGTTTTTCTCGTCGTGAAATTTCAGCCCTGGGAGCTGGCATCGTTGCGCTGAGCAGGTTCAGAACCACTAGGAACAGCATCTACGCTTTGCGGAGGGATTTGATCTTGAGGACTCACAGAGTGAAGAGAGATGTAAAAAAGTTGTTGCTGCTGCTTTAGAGAGAGTTCAGAGCACGCACGCACCCAGTCATGGGTTGAGCCCACTTTTAGGAGTAAGTACACATTTAGCAACTCAGGCTGCCTTGACTTCCCCTTTTCTCTCATGCTCAGGGCAGAAAATATAACTGGCTGTCAGCCTTTTCTTAAAAACAAAAAAGAAACAACAACAACTTCACAATCAGACCAAGAAATATTGGTGCCTAAGGCAGAAAAGCCACATGGTGTCTCTCACCCAAGGTAGAGAATGTAATAATAAACTAAATAATTGACAGCTGGCTGTTCTTGAATGGTACCTCACTATTGCTGTAGCCTCAGGCATCCTGCATCCTCCAGCCTAATGGCAGCGTCCAGCCTTGGCATTACTAGTGCAAATACCTCATTAAAATATAACAGCATGCATTTCTTCAAACTTCACGCGTTTCAAAAAAAAGGCTTAATTTTTTTTAAAAAAAGATCTCTGAAGCTTCTTTTGTTTAGTACTGCAGTTTAACTCGAATATCTGAGCGCCTTTGCAGTGCGGTTTTCAAATACAGTGGTACCTTGGTTCTCAAACTTAATCCGTTCCGGAAGTCCGTTCCAAAACCCAGGTGCACTTTCCCAAAGAAAGCAATGCTAAACAGATTAATCCGTTCCAGACTTTTAAAAACAACCCCTAAAAAAGCAATTTAACATGAATTTTACTATCTAACGAGCCCGTTGATCCATAAAATGAAAGCAATAATCAATGTACTGTACTATAAAATAAATAAGACGGTATTGTAGATGATAAAAATTAAAATTATTTTCCCCCCTTACCTGCACTGATGATAGTCATTGTTTGTATGGGGGGCTCTTATCCATTTCCACAGTCACACAGTCAATCAGTAGCTGAACTAGGTTCCACACAGTCACAAAAACAAATTAACCAAAAATGCCACAAAAATGCAAAATAAATAGCAAAAACAAAAGCACCAAACTTAATCCATTCCAGAAGTCCATTTGACTTCTGAAATGTTCAAAAACCAAGGCGCAGCTTCTGACTGATGCAGGCGCCCTGGAAACAATAGCCGACAGCCGAATCGGACGTTTGTCTTCCAAAAAACGTTCGAAAACCGGAACACTTACTTCCGGATTTTTGGCGTTTGGGAAACAAAGTTTTTGAGTACCAAGGCGTTTGAGAACCAAGGTACCACTGTATGCACGATAGCAGTTGTTACGCTACATATTGCTTTGTGATTTGTGTTCTGTTTTATTGAATTTGTATGTAGCCATTTTACTGTATTTTAAATTATATATATATATATATGTACAGTGGAGGGACGCGGGTGGCGCTGTGGGTTAAACCACAGAGCCTAGGACTTGCCAATCAGAAGGTTGGCGGTTTGAATCCCCGCGACAGGGTGAGCTCCCGTTGTTCGGTCCCTGCTCCTGCCAACCTAGCAGTTCGAAAGCACGTCAAAGTGCAAGTAGATAAATAGGTACCGCTCCGGCGGGAAGGTAAACGGCATTTCCGTGTGCTGCTCTGGTTCGCCAGAAGCGGCTCAGTCATGCTGGCCACATGACCCGGAAGCTGTACGCCGGCTCCCTCAGCCAGTAAAGCGAGATGAGCGCCGCAACCCCAGAGTCGGTGACGACTGGACCTAATGGTCAGGGGTTCCTTTACCCTTTACCTTATGTACAGTGGTACCTCGGGTTAAGTACTTAATTCGTTCCGGAGGTCTGTTCTTAACCTGAAACTGTTCTTAACCTGAAGCACCACTTTAGCTAATGGGGCCTCCTGCTGCTGCTGCGCCGCCGGAGCACGATTTCTGTTCTTATCCTGAAGCAAAATTCTTAACCTGAAGCACTATTTCTGGGTTAGCGGAGTCTGTAACCTGAAGTGTATGTAACCTGAAGCGTATGTAACCCGAGGTACCACTGTACTGCTGCTAAAGGGCACGCCTTTATGTTCTTTGGCTTTAGAGGACTGTCCGAAACATGTGCAAAGAACCTAAGCGTCCCTAATCATTACTTGGACAGAACGAGGAAAATGCCACGTGGAACAAATAGCCCCAGCAAAACTGATTGATTAATCCAGGTTAAAAAGGATTAGAATAGACAGACTGGCAGACATTTAGATTAGGACAGAGTGGATTAGCGCCATGTTGCAGATGGGAGCTGTCAGAGCGACAGGGAGAGAGATATGGATAAAGCCACTTGCGAAAGGTCAGTCAGCCAATCTGTTGGTTAGTCCAAAACTCCACGCTTTTACAGGCATTGCGGGGGTGGGTATTTAGGTAACGTTTATGATTTCCCTCCTCTGCGGTATTGGCGCTCCTTGCCAACACTTTAAACCAGAAATAAAAATGCAAATACCTCTTTGTAGTTTGTAAAGGAAACAGCTTGATTAGTTTATGGGTTTTTCTTTATGGACACATTCTACGTCTTTGTCTTAAAAGCAACTTTATTGGGAGAAAACTAATTAGAAAGGGACACAGACTAAGTCAACAACTGAGGCACAGAAGCTCAAAGCTCCGGGGGCTTTTCGAAAGAGGGTGGGGGGAGAGAGAAGGAAAATGAGGAAACAGCTGGATAATCTGATGCATTATTTTCCATCACTATATACTGTTATTTTATCCACTCAATAAAACTGCTCCCTGGGAACCCTTTAGAATGTAAATGAAACCATTTATTAAAGAGATGCACTTCAGAAGAAAGATCCTCCTGGGGTTTCCTTTTCCCTGCCCCACCCCCTTTGATTTGGGTGGGGCACAATTCTGAATAAATGCCCCATCCAATCCATTCTTGAATCCCAAATCTAGGGCTCCCTCCTCTGTTTAGGGGTTCCCGTCAGAGACGTGGAACAGTCTCAGTGAGTACAATACTAACAAAACAAACACATTCCAAGAAATACTCCAAGAAGGCTCACATAACCATAAAATGAGGATGTGTTTTAATCTCTTAAGTCTGGAGCACAAATTGAAGGATAGACATTGCCAACCATAAAGGGGAGAGAAACGCTTGACTGACTAAGTCAAGTCGTTTGCGTGTGGAGACCCTGCAGCTACCCCCTCGTGGAAATAACTCACACCAGGACACAGATATTAGGTTTATGTTATTGGGCAAATTTTGGCCACAACTTTATTGAAATTACAGAATGTGAGCGGTATTGGCTTAGGCAATGATTGGACCTGACTATATCTGACTCCTGCCCATTGTGCAGGAAGTCCGGTAAGGGTAAGCCAACGGTAGGGAGAGCCCTGTAGATGCGAACCAACTCAAGCTCCCGCTGGGGTCGTGTCAAGGCCCTAGCCCCCAGCCGGGCTTCAGACTAGATCAACACCCCCGGATTCCTTTAACGGAATACCCTTAAGCATGGAGGGGCAGGTGATGGCCACACCTCCCCTCCCCCACACAAGGTCAAACAATGCCTAACCGCAACCCTAACAAAGTTGTGACGATTGCTACGAGGTAGGCGAAAACCAAGTGGCCAGTGCCAGTTTGCCAAGTGGAAAAATTCCTACCAGGCCCCTCGGACAACCAAGGCGACCAACCGAGATCCATAGCAAGTCCATTGCCTATCCTGCAAAATAGGGAGGGAGGGCGGGTGATTGAGGAAGCGAGCCAAAGTGGAAGTCCTCTGGCTCACTCCTCAGTTTAAACGGCCCCAGCCACACACACCCAGCCAGCGGATTGGCAGGCTGGGCTCTGATGTGGCCAGGATCCCCCAGGCAACGGGGGACAAAGTATTGGAAGACACAAGATCTACCCACCCGGGAAGAATGGCAGATGAAGGTGATGGACTACATGGAACTGGCGGAAATGACTGGCAGAATCCGAGACCAGGGAGAAGAGTTGGTGGAAGAAGATTGGAAGAAATTTAAAGTTTATTTACAGAAACATTGTAAAATTAAGGAATGTTAGAAGGATTTTGGAATGAAATAATGCGGTTTTAGCAGAAATGTTATAAAGGATTAAGGAAAAATAGATTGCTAAACGGTGAAGGAAGGAAAGTAAAGTTACATTATATTAAGATAAAATAGAGGACAAAAACTGGAAAGGAGGGAAAGGATTTGCTGAAATAGTTAATTGAACTAGAATACAAAAAAGGGAGGTGTGAGGAGGTCAAGGAAATAAGCAAATGAAAGATAAGATATGGGAAGATTTATTGCATTTTTTCTTTTTTCTTTTTTCTCTTGTTTCTTTTTTCTATTATTGTGATGTGATGTGATGTTTTGTATTTCTTAAATATGCTGTTTTTTAATTTTTTCTTTTTGTAACCCTTTAAAATTTAATAAATATTATTTTTTTAAAAAAAAAAACAAAGTCCCCCGCCCCCGGTGGGGAATGGGTGGCCACGCAGTCCACCGCAACTCCTTCCCACTGGGAATTGGAGCGGATTTATGTGCAATTTCCACTGTGGTCAATGGGGCCTCCTCACAGGTAAGCGAGCATAGGATTTAGTTGCCCCAACACAATTGTTTCTTTACCACGACAGAGACCTTGCTTTTCTTCAACCAGCGGGAAACAGAATGAAAATAGAGATTTTAGACAATCACTTATACAGCACTATCCATCAATGCCTTTTCCCGTTATCACGATCCTCTTATAATATTTATTCACATGTAAATCCTGTTCAGTGAAGGCTTTCAGCAGTGATAGCTGAGAATTTCCTACTTGCAGTTTCACTTAGCTTTATTGCTTCTTGAGAAATGTGGGTACGGTAGGTGATTTGTGATTAATAGCCTATTGGTTGTCCCCTGAACAGGCCTGAATATCAGTATCGCTTCCTATTGTGAAGGGGCTTTTAAATACTGATTTCCTCACTTTTTTTGTTTTTATAGTAAAATAGTGCAATTTTACTTTTATTTTAAAAAAATGAGAGTAAAACCAGTAAATATAACCTCCTCCTGTGAAACAGGAACTGAAATTGGAGCAACTAAGAGAGTCTATTCAAGGGTCAATTAATTTCTTACAAGTCCCCCCCCCCCCCGTGCTTATCGAGCAATAACATGGATTGTCCCTGTAAACAGAAAGTCTTTAATGATTGGCAGCCCTTAAAAACCTCAACAGCACTTTCCCTGTTCATATCGGTGCTGCAGTTGCATTTTATTAAGGAAAAAACCCATCACCAATTAGGTTCAAAAAGTCACAGAGGGTGTTAATACAGAACACTGGAATGCAATGGGCTGGTGACACTGGATGCACCATGTTAAGTGAGTGGGGGGAAAGACTGGCTAAAGGGGCAAAATATGTGCAAAAGGGATTTCATATAGTTACTTTGTCAGCATCCAACTGACTCAGGGCTGCTTCTACTTAGAGCATTTACAGAGGAACAGCCACACACTGGTTTGCTCATTCCTTCAAGGCATCTGCATAATGTCATGATTAAAATATCTTCTTCCCAGCTTTTCCCTGTTCAGCTTCTGCCCGTTTGCTTTTTGTTTTCCATTTTTCAGAGCTCAGAAAATCTAACTTTTTTGACACAGTGGAACAATCACCTCTGTTGTGGACAGTGGCATAGCGGGGGGGGGGGGGGTTGGCACAGGGTAGTTGCCCCGGGCACAAAATTGTTAGGGGCACAAAATTTCAAAACCCGGTGCTGCCTCAATACAGCTGTGTGTTTCTGTCACTGGGCTCCGTTGAAAACGGCTTCTCCATGCAAACCAGGAAGTGACCGCTCCAGACAACAGAACGGCTCTTCTTTTCTTATCTCTGTGGCTTCGATCTCCTGGGTGGCACAGATGCTGTTATGAATGTGCATGCGTACTCTGTCCATGCCCCTCTTTCCCATCGCACCCCTCTGTATGGTCCCGGGCTCTACCAACCCATGTTATGCCACTGGGTGTGGATGACTCATTGTGCAACTGTTCTGTCGGGTTTGCAGCATCTGCTTCTCTATGGTCCTTCACTCCACTCTAGGAATTAACACGATAATTTCCAAATAACATTGCCTTAAATCAATTCCTCTCTTTCCCACATTGCTGTGGGGAGGGGGGAAGCTCATGATCAGGATTTCAATGGTGGTGGCGGGGAGGAGGATATATTTAACGCTATCCTTACATACCAAGGTCCCAATGAAAATTGCCTCCAACAGTATATGGGACTGAAGAAAAGTGGACCATCTCCTTGGCTGCAGAATGGCATTTGAATTCCAGAAGTTGGGAATCAGAGTTGCTATTCTCCTTCCAGCTTAGAACAATTAGTTGTTGTTGTTTAGTCGTTTAGTCATGTCCGACTCTTCGTGACTCCATGGACCAGAGCACGCCAGGCACTCCTGTCTTCCACTGCCTCCCGCAGTTTGGTCAAACTGATGCTGGTAGCTTGGAGAACACTATCCAACCATCTCATCCTCTGTCATCCTCTTCTCCTTGTGCCCTCAATCTCTCCCAGCATCAGGGTCTTTTCCAGGGAGGCTTCTCTTCTCATGAGGTGGCCAAAGTATTGGAGCCTCAGCTTCAGGATCTGTCCTTCCAGTGAGCACTCAGGGCTGATTTCAGAATGGAGAGGTTTGATCTTCTTGCAGTCCATGGGACTCTCAAGAGTCTCCTCCAGCACCATAATTCAAAAACAACAATGAGTGGCTGTTGCTAATTCTTCATGTCTGGAAGCTTACTAATAGTTTCCTGGTTTCACCTTCAGTAATTTCTTGCTGAGAAAATTTGCAGCAGTTTGAGAGGTGGATGCTGTCCATGAGAATAGAGAACATGTGCAGTTATTTGGCTCAAGGTCCTTACAAGTGGATTGGTTGCATATCTCCTGCTTACATTTCTCCCCATTTTATAAAGCTTTCTTTGTCTCTCAAACATTCCGCCTCTTCATAGCTGACCCCCCCTCAAGTGCCCTAGCTTAGAAAATAGAACGGTATTTTGTCAATTGTTGATCACAGCAAAGGATTTTTGAATGGCATAGTCACCGGATGGAGAAAGTACAGACGCAACAAAGGATTCTTGTGTGATCCAGCAGCTCTTGGAACCAGTTAATTTAATTTTGATTAGAGGCGTTTAGCAGAAGTAGACAAAGAGGAGGAAGAAATGTCCACTGGACCTCAGTGCAATTTTGCTTTACGGAAAATAAAGCACATGAATCTTAAATCACAAGGTCATCTCTTCAGCCTCATAGTTTGATAGTTAGTTGTGCCATGCTGGGAAGTGCTGGATTTGCCCATCAAAATGGCAGTTTCCCCCTGTATTTTCCTACCATTTAGTGTGGTACTATTTTTAATGGGTTAGGCGGAATGCCTAGAAGCCTTCCCAGATTCATTTTTTAAAACCCATATAGCATTTTGCTTGATGATGCTCACACCAGTGAGCTAGTCCTGATCAAGCAATGATAATGTGCTATTCTATTCCTACATAGGGACGCGGGTGGCGCTGTGGGTAAAACCGCAGAGCCTAGGACTTGCCAATCAGAAGGTTGGCGGTTCGAATCCCTGTGACGGGGTGAGCTCCTGTTGCTCGGTCCCTGCTCCTGCCAACCTAGCAGTTTGAAAGCACGTCAAAGTGCAAGTAGATAAATAGGTTCCGCTCCGGCGGGAAGGTAAACGGCGTTTCCGTGCGCTGCTCTGGTTCGCCAGAAGCAGCTTAGTCATGCTGACCACATGACCTGGAAGCTGTACGCCGGCTCCCTCGGCCAATAAAGCGAGATGAGCGCCGCAACCCCAGAGTCGGGTTCCTTTACCTTTACCTTACTGATCATTTCCCAAAGAACCTATGGGAAGGGTGCCTGGGACAAAGATGGCCGGCCAGCCCATGCGATATGGTTCTCCAGGAACCTTCCCTTTCAAAGGAAATTTTCGTTTCTAGTATGAATGCCAGTCATTTTAGGTATTTTCACTCCCCTCCCCCCACCCGAGAAGCACTTTGAGTTATTACCATAATAACATTCCAGAACAATATCCAGGCAGCTGCCTAAGCAGAGCATTTTACCAGCGCGGTTCTGAAATGATTCTGCTTCCAAATTGCTGTTGTGCATAGGTAGCAGCAATGCGAAGGAAACCAGAGGAAAATAGAAGCAGGCTGGCAGATGTAAGAGGGGAGCCTGAAGATGCAGGACGGAGATGTTAAAGCATTTAAAGTGATCCCTTTGCACTATCA